TCCGGAGAAGAAAATACATCTCGATCAGATGCGTGCAGATTCCTGCAACATGCTTGCAAATGAACATCAAGTGGATTCGATGGTGAACTTTTCCTGATTGATGATCTGGATCTCATGTACCCAAAGGTGCCGGGTCCTATCCCGAAGTTGGGCTCCTATATAAGCTGTCAATTGAGCGTTATTTCTCAAGTTCTGGAGCAGCCGAGAGGTAAAGCTTGGTCCTTCAAAGTGCTAAAGCAGGACTGGTGGTCCAGTATCTTTTGGATTCTCTAGTGCTACCTCTTATAAACTTCATAGGAGTGTAGTGGTGGAGAAGCACAACAAGTATAGACCGCTGGCTGCTGCTGGCTTGCAGACACTTTCCACTCAGACTGTCATCGTTCACATCAAATCGAATATTATCCTCGGTCTAAACCGTACTTGAGACGCATTTTATTTGTAGCAGGGACTCGTGCGCAGGCATCCCTACCAAGCTACCAACGACCTCGATTTTGATGACAGTCTTCCAATCAGATTGACCTTCCAGCTGAAGCGGAGTTCAGTGCTCGTTGACTTGTTGCGCTTGACGTCGACCAGAACTGTTGGCCTTGAGCTCTTCGGTTCCCGATCGCTAGCAAGTTGCAGGTTTGGTAGAGTTCGCCCCTCGGCTTAAGATGGCAGGCGTCCATCAGCAGATGGGAGGACCATATGAAACAGATGCCAGCAATATTAAGATCGGAGGGGGCAGCGCGGCACGAACTGAGGACAGGGACTATATCGAACCAGAGCCACATCTTCTGTGGACTGTCGATGAATTCTACAAATGGTCGCTCTATAGAGCTGCCATCGCTGAGTTTATTGCCACTCTCCTCTTCGTGTACATCGGCGTTTCTGCTGCCATTGGAAATGGACGCACCAGCCCCGATGGAGTCGGAGCTCTCGGTGTTGCATGGTCTTTCGGAGCCACCATATTTGTGCTCGTCTACTGCACAGCTGGTGTTTCAGGTTCGCCCTTCGATTGCTAACCGGCTCTAGAAGCACTTGCAGTCATATCGTCCGAGGCTCCATCGTTTCATTCTGGTTGTAGCTACGAGCGTTTGATGATGAAGTTGTTGTCATAATATTGTGATACGATGATAATGATGAAAAGTGAAGTCCATTCTACATGGTTGTCACATATGGCAGTAGTCTGATTTATCCCTTGCAACGATGTGTTTGGTGGTGTGGGCAGGAGGACACATTAACCCCGCAGTTACTTTCGGACTACTTCTGGGTAGGAAGCTTTCGGTTCCTCGGGCTTTCATCTACATAATTGCCCAGATGGCGGGAGGTGTCTGTGGAGCAGGACTCGTGAAGGGATTGCAGAAAACTCCATTCCAGGTGTTGGGCGGCGCAACGAATACCGTCAGTGCAGATTTCGGCATCGGCACAGGTCTGGCAGCAGAAATCATCGGAACTTTCGTCCTGGTTTACGTGGTCTACTCTGCCACTGATGCTAAGCGCAAGGCCAGGGACTCGCATGTGCCGGTAGGTTCAACAACCATTAGATCTGAGGTTCCTTGAAGAGTGAATTCCCATATGAATCCAAATGCAGTTTCTGAAATTGGATCAGAGTCACAGAAATCACGTGAACTGGTCCAAATGGAAGACGAAAATTAATGTCTGGAGGTGCTGTGATCTCGCAGGTGCTCGCCCCATTGCCCATCGGGCTTGCAGTTTTTGTTGTCCATCTGGCGACCATTCCCATCACCGGCTGTGGAATCAACCCTGCTCGAAGCTTCGGCCCAGCTGCTCTCTGGAACCACCAGCAAGCTTGGGATGACCAGGTGAGTCCTTGTATCTCAACCTATCCCACTTAGATGTGTTGTGTCAAACTCTTTCCATTGACCGAAATTCTCAGAAAATCCAAGATCCAGCCAGTATCTCGCACTCGCATGAACATCCTGCCTGACAGCAGATGACAGGGCTTATAATCTGGGATATCTGATTTGCGCAGTGGATCTTTTGGGTTGGTCCCTTCATCGGAGCTACCTTGGCTGCCGCCTATCACCAGTTCGTCATCCGTGCTTTGCCGCTAGGATCACACTTTCTGTTCCCGACCATGTCCATGTCCGGCTCCATGAGCATTTCAGGGAGAAAACTTGAGACCAAGCTCTCAGGATGAGGACGAAAATACCAAGGACAGTAAATCTGCCGACAACAAACTGTGAAGCTCAGGCTCAGGCTCAGGCTCGAGTGCATGTACTGATCTGCAGCTGCACATACCACTCTACTGTAAATAACAACGAAGAGGTTCTTATAGATAGCCGGGGAGAAACCATGGCGCTGAAGCTTCAGCTTCAGCGCGTGCGACATCGTCTATTTGAAGAGGACTAGGATTACCATCACATGTAGATCCAAACTAAAAACTACAGAAATTATCATGCTTCATACTTTGCAACTAGGACCTTTCAAGATTTCAATGTGGTATATATACGAGTGTGCTTTCCATTCCCAAAAAAAAGCTGAAAAGCAGGCAACAAGCATAGACCTCAGCTTCAAGGAATACGAAACGAGGCCCAATAGAGAGCCTTCTACCGAGAAGAAGGCCGAATCTCGCCTCAGGGTTGATGTGCCCTCCTGTTCACACCGTACATATTTGCAAGGAGTCAGAGAACTTCAATTCTGAGGCTGGCAAAAGGATGTTTCATGCTTAAGAGTACCTGTGCTGAGATTTTGAACCAACCAGTTCCCATCGTGCTCTTCTGTGTATTCCACTCAGACTGGGGTTTTGATTATTATTTTTATTGTTAAGCATAAATTGATCTTCATTATACCGAGACATACCTCAAATGCACACCATAATCACATGATGGCAGTATCCCGTGAATGTTTTCCTGCTGAACATGTTGCCTCAACTTTCAATGCTGCTCAGAAAGTGAACGAGTCCCGTTTGACCCGTCACAGGAACTGAATGTGACTCGAATATCATAACTGGAAGTTGATATCTTAGTACATTGTTGCCGAGTGTGGAATGGTAAAAAATTTTCAAAGTTATCACGGAATTTGTTTTAAAGGAGCACACTAGAATTGACAATAGAGATATTTTATGAGCTCTTAGGGATTTTTTAGAGAAAAATGCAACTAGATGTCAATTAATGAGCATGTGATCAGTTACAAATGAGCATCAAATAAATAAAGTTTTATTTGATGACTCAAGCTTTGAGTTCCGTCATCACCTGCTTAACGTATCTTAAGGTTTTGCACCCAAAAAAATGCACCAAAATAGCAACAAGAACAAAATGCTAATATTTGTCTTTATGAATAAGTTGATATATTTTAATAGAAACACGAGTCACATATATAGAATGAAACAAAATGATTGCAAAATAGGTTATAAAAACTGAATTTGACATAGTCAAATAAAATAATATGATAACTCTGGTTCACAAAAATCACCTAAAATCCAAATTGAAAGCTATGGATTTGGACAAGATGTTAGAGATCTATATTCTCTACTTTCAACTCTCATAATTAGATGGAACTTCAAGATGAGACGATGAAAAATTTTAGAGTATTTAAAATATTTGATTATGATACAAATGGATAAATACGAAAATTATACTATGTTGTTTCAGGCTTTTGATTTGTATTTTTTTCTCAAAAAATTACCAAGTGAATTTTATAATCAATCAAAATTGATGAATTTCAAAATTTCAATTTTTTTGTATGAAGTTTCAAACTCAAATTGATGTTTTTAAAGATCTTTAAGAAAATATAAATGATGAGGAAAACTATTGCATCTTTCAACTTCATTATCTGTATTGTAAAAGTCATAATCGCGTGTGGTGCTTCATTTTGAAAAAAACATTATCATTAACAATGAAATTGTAAGTGATTTTTTACCAATCACTTACAAATTCATCTTAAATAATAAGATGATGACATCTTTTCCATACTGTTCATCAAATATGGCACTAAATAAAACTCAAGTACATTCATGTTTACAAAATAGCAATAATGATAAAAAAAATCCTATCTATAATAGTTATAATATCACTTAATATATTTGAAAATAAATCAAAATTATTGCAAACGAAAATATGTCAATTTTAAAACATCATAAATTTATATTACTGAAGAAAGCATTGTTTTCTACACGCTTAAGCAAACAATATTGAATAATTTATGTGATATATTTAAGTAATATGATTGATCACATGTTGAAAAAAGTCAAAATTGTGATGCATTCGATATATGCATTACATATGATATGCATTCGATGCATATGCAAACGATTTATTGACTTCATTTGAATAAAATAAAATAAAAATCAATTGAATAATTCTTTGAAAATGTTTAATCGTACTATCGAGACACCAAAAATTTAAGTCAGGTTCTCAACTCTGTTCACGATAACACTAGAATTTTATTGCCAATGTGTGAGGTAGTGAGCTACTTGCTGGTCTAAAACTCTGCTGAATCCTAAAAATCCGCATCATCTCATTGTGGGTTCCGTCGAATTCGATATACTCCTACATGCACAAGAGTGAAGAGTATCATGAAATTTGTTCTTACTCAAATCATTTCATTATTTTCCTGTATTTTTAAAAATTTTAAATCAATGACTGATAACTCCAAAATTTGATATTGATCTTAGTGCTCGTGCATAATTTTTTTTGGTCAAGGTTCTCAAACATTGCTTGTTTTTTACTGTGTAATTTTATAAGCATTTGAATTTATTGAGCAATTATAATTGTATATATATTATAATCATTCAATGTAGAATGCTTTTTTATTACTTTCATTTGTCTTTAATCTTTCAAACTTTGTTTGATCACATCTATCATTCCTATTTTGAGAGTTTTTGTCCGTTGGTTTTGTAGGTAACTCATCATAATTCTAAACTTGAAGGATTTTTAAACTTGCTCGTGTTTCAGACACACTTACACAAACTTTTCACTCATTACTCAATTACTAACAATCATCGATACTAAATTGTATAATTTATACTTATATTGACGAAACAAGTATTTATACAATGAATTCTCCAAAATTGTTTGAAAATTATTTTTCTACCTTTATATTACTTAAAAACATATACGGGAGGTGCTAGAGAAGAAATTCTTTGAAACGCAATCCTGTGTTCCAGAATCGGGTGATAAATTTCTCGGCAGCCATGTCGGATCCAAGCAGCTGAGCGTCGGCGTCGCGCACGTGAACCTCAACCTCCTGTCTGACTGTATGACTTGTTGGCGGGATAGTAGTGAGGTCTCTGATTTCATTCGCACCTTTCCACTCCAGGATGTCCAGAAGCTTGACGATCAGGCCGTCCTCGCTCGCCCATTTCTCCTCGCGCTCTCTTCTGACGAATCTCACATCGTGGCGGTACTCTTTTGAAACCCTCATCGTATACTCGCCCACCATCCCGGCCGATGCATCGGGTTCGAGGATCGGGTTCTGCTGCAATAGCTTCCGCAGCATACCTTCCGTAATAAACTCCTTCCTCTTTATTAGATAACGCACACAATTCGGTCGACACTGCTCGACCGCTCGGTGCTCGAGGCACCTTTCTCTAAAGAAAGGTGCCTTGGAGGAACCTCTCTCTAGAGAAATAAACTCTAAACCAGAGCTAACCTTGACGTAGTATGCATCGGGTCCACCATAATGAATATCTCTTACAAAAATCTTGATCTTGTAAGTATCAGTATCCAGGCGCATGTTTACGAAGCCCTCCTCAAGCAGCTTGATCCGCAGCTTACCCATGGAACCATGTACCTGTGACGTCAGTCCACATCCGACCAGGTCATCTGAAAAATTCTGGTCACGTAAACTCGACAATTTACATTCTGAGACGTATATCTTATGTATTTAACAGGTCGTTTACTATACTTAAAATGGACTAAATATAAATACGAATTGCATTATGAATTTATTTTTTCTTAAGAAGACCACATGGAAAATAAGATATTTGTAAGTATAATCCTAGAGTAAAGTACTTCAGTTCAAAAGAAAATAGGAGGCTCAAACTCCTGTCATACTCTGAGCAGAACCCAACTTACGTGATCCAATCAGACAAGAGAAAGTGACGCATTGGAGAAATAAGTCTTGGCACCAATCGGATCGGGGGGACGATGGAAGACTGAAGACGGTCGACAGAAGCATCCTTCAGAGAAGATGAGAAGTGTCCAACTTACATGTGGAAGAAATAATTGTCGGGTAAAATTCGAGCTGCTGCGGCCAGTGACGTAATTTTCGAGCTCGGCGATGGAGGTCTGCCCTCCGAAGTGGAAGAACATGGTTTCATTGACGCAGTAGGTTCCGAAACGGACCAAAGCAGTCAAATCAGTACCCACTGGTCTATCCCACCATGTCCAGTGTGGGGAGAGGGCCAGCTGCCTCTGGCGCAACAGCAACAGCAAGCTTCTCAATCTCGAGAAGGCATGCGCCTGCCACTCCGAGCACTCGACTGTGGCCCGCAGAACAGGCAGAACAGGCTGAATAGCCAATTGCACACCCCTCTGCCCCATGTACGTGAAGAATTGCAACTTGTCCTGCTCGCTCGACGAGCCCTCGAATAACAGGAAAGGTGGAATATCTGCGCATCCTAACGGGGACATGGGCCCCGACAACGTACACTCGACTGTCTTCTGGATCTAACAGGAAACCTGTCGAGAAATCAGACAGCACTTCTTCTGATCAGCGCAGCCGCAGCCTCAGATAGCAGTCGTGTCTATGTTTATTGATCGATCGATCGAGAGAGAGAAACTGCGCAAAGGGCATTAAAATCTCGTTCTGGAGTGAATTACCATGTCTGGGTTGGGGATCCTCTATAAAGGGTCATCCAATATTGGGAAGTGGGAAGACCACAAGATAGGAGAGTGGGAAGTCCGAATGAAACTAATTGATCACCTGACGCGGCACGCATGACGAGACTTGATACTGCCGCACTAATGTTTGAGCGGTGAGGACCACGGAAGCCTCATGATACACCTTCTCCTGTAATTCGCCGGCCGCAGAGACGCACATAATCCGGCGTTGATTGCAATGTCCGTCTCGGAAGAAGCGGAATTCCTTTACTCGCGTAAGGTTGAGGGGCAGCAGTATCAGATAACAAACTCTTTTCCATGAATAATAACCGTAGAATGAATTAAGAACCCTTCCCTCCTTCGAGCCTTCGAGTTCGAGAGCTTGAGCTGCGTCTCTCCCGTAAGCTGTTCGTATGACATCTTCCTCCGCTGCGCGAACGACATCGGATTATACTCGATCAGCGCTTCGAACTCGGCGAAGACTGCCGGAGGCACGCTGTACGGAGCGAGTAGTGCATGCTCTATCCTATTCTGTAATTGAATCGGTAGTATCAGGGAGATGGTGAGGACTACAATATTTCCTTGATGCAGCGAAGGAGTAGCCCAGGGCAAGAGTCGAGGAGCTCGGACAGGTATGCGGGACTGATGCTGTAGCCATAGACGCCCGTCGTAGATGGAATATGAAAGCATGGGGCGATGGTTTCTACGTAAAGGAAGATGAGATATGTTGAGCTTCCAAATCCAAAACAGTTCGTAGAGACTCTCGAAGTATACAACAGTGAGGCGAGCCATTGTCGCAAGATTAGCAGAATGAAAAATTGGAATCCACCTGAAAAAGAGGAACCTGCACATTGATGGGAACGTGTAGCCAATCTGAGAACTTTCAAATGCTCCTTTGGACATGAGTCCGACATAGATCCGTCTTGACCAAATGGAAAAGCTGACTGATTGTTATGGCTAGTCACGTGGCTAGTATATTAAGGAAATAGCTCTTGTGCCTCATGCTCACCAGACCACTGAACAAAAATTCAGACGGAGATTACGTCAATTTTAATCTTGGGTACGGATGTTTGGAGGAGTGAAAGTTCCATCCAAAACGATGGCAATGTCGTTGCCCTCATTTATTTCCGGAAAGAGGAAAAGCGTTGAAGGAGGGTGTATGTTTTCTTCAAGCGGATAATCTGTAGAAGCCTTAGAAGCGGTTTAACTCAATCTACAGGGTTTAGAAACCTTGAAGAGAGTCATCTTGAGAGAACACTTGTGGCGAAGGTTGTTGGAAACAAATCTAGGGACGTCAAAAACAAGTAAGCATCGTAGAATCTACGTATGGAAATGTGAACCGTTAAAAAAATGGAAGGACCATACGACATGTTAGGAGCAAATCGATGTAGTGAAGAAGGGTGAAAAAGGAATTGAAAGGTAGAAAAAATCCCGGGAATGGGGAGCAAATGTCAAATAGGAAAATAAAGCACGGGTGAGTGATAACATGATTTGGACGTGGTGGACGTCGATGAGTCAGCATGGGAAGAAAAGGACTGCAAAGGACTTACATTTGAATACACAGCAAAGACTTGACATTATCACGCTAGAGTAATATACTTTATACGAAAAGAAGCAGAAAAATATGACAAAAAGGATTGTAACAGGCCATACAGAGTCGAAACCAACCCATGACATTTTCTAAACATAATTGCATCCCATGGAAAGTATGTGATGTTGTACATAGATTATTTACCATCAAAGAGACTTTGCCCTCCCACTCAATGATATACTGCACATTGAATACTAAGATCTGGTTATCTGTTAAGCTATCAATATATCGACGAACAATAAAGTGTACATTTAAGTCACCGCGTTTATTACTCTAAGTACCAAATCTTACCCTCCAATTGAAAGAACACTCTTTGAACTCACATCCTTTCTTCTGTTTCTTTGTAGTATTTATGGGGTGGACTCCAAAACTTCCGGTTAATAGATCTTGCAAGTACAGTCAGCAGACACTTGCCATTTCAATTTTGCTGAGGTACTTTTTGTTACGCAGGGTTGAGAGAGCAAAGCTGTGTTAGTGTGGCCCTGGTTACATCAGTCCGAAATTGACACAGGTACTGTACAAAAAATTGGATTGCACACTTCCCTGAAGACAATGGTCAGCTTCCGACCATTGTTCTAGGCTTGGCCACGGTCCGGGCCGGTTTAACCGGTCCCCATTTCGTCAACCGAGATTAATGTATCCATTTAAAATGGACACTTGATCGAAGGGTGACAATTTTGCATCTTCTCAGTCGAGCATATCTTGGGGACTTCACGGTGTTCTGGATCGAACATGTTGTAAGAATCGACTTGTCTTGTTTGTTTGGCCCCAGTTTCACACATGCGAACTTTTAGTGCACATCTAGCCCCGTTTTAACTTCTGTCTTATGTAAGTACATGTGTACTATTGACTGATGAGAGAGCTCTCTGTGACGACAATTCATGGCAGCAGACAAAGTTTAGGATTTTCACCAATGAGAAAAGCTTTCCTTGACAGTTATCTCTCATGGAGACCAAGACGGAGAAGATTGAACTTCGGCATCTTGTGTCATCATCTACTTCTCTCCATCTGAAAAATGGTGGTTGAGTCTTTGCTTGGGTTCGTTCCCTTCTCGTCATTTAATAATTGGCATGCCAGTGTTCGATGATCTCTCCCATGTTTGACATTGTGTCCAATTTTTGGAACTCAATAGCGTATTTGGTATTGGGATTGGCTCCCAACATTTATGATCCAAAGTTTTTTAAAAAAAATTCAAACAAAACCCTTCTGATGAAACCGAATTTTAACATCAAAAGGAGTATAAAATAAAGAACCTATGTTGAAAAAGTTCTCGAACACTCATTTATCTTCATTTCTGTTTATCAATACCTCGAAATATTTTGTCACTATCCTAACATAAATGGACCCCGTCTTTAGTTAAGTTTTGAATAGACCGGTTAGCCGGTTTACCTTTTTTTCTTAACCGGTTAACCGGACCGTGGCCAAGCCTAGTTGGTTCTATCAAAAGACAAGGTTCTACTTTATTGACTGATTCCTATATTCCTTTTAGAGTAAAGTTCCAAAGACTTTTGGAGCCGAAGTACACTCCATGAGGCCGAGGAATGCAATGTAATAAGGAAAATGAAATTAGGAAAGAAGTCAGTAGAACAAACTAATCCAATTTACTTGACAGTGATTCTAAGACTACAACCCATGCTTGCGAATTAGATGCTGGCTTGACCAGAGCTATACAGGCTTCCTGCAAATTTGACTCATCCAAAATGCTGCAGATAAAAATCAGTGAGGTGTGTCTTCGCCTCCCCTAAGATGAAAACTGCACAGCTTATGCCTTGAGTCCGAGTAATCCTCAAATATTTGGACTATAGCTGGAAGTTTTGGATTAATTACAAACGCGCCTCTAAGTGTAAAAGAACAAATAGCTACTATATATAACGGCGTTAATGGTTACTTAGATGTATTAGAAATGTTTTAACCATTAAAGTAGATGACACAATTTAACAAGTTTCGCATCTGGCTTTAAAACGAGCTTTAGAAACAAAATAAAGTCGTTCAACTAGTGAACTACATTTATCATATCGGCTTACTTAGAGCCATGGAAAGTACAAATGATAATATAAAACAATGCATTAATCTAATGGGATTTTAATTCTTTTATATTTCAAAATCTTTTACAACAATAATAGGTTTACAAGAATCTGTTCATGATATATTAATTAATTAGTAAGAAATTGTATTAAAAGGTGAATTTTTTGAACTACTTGTCTTATTGAATATGCATCTAGATTATCAAGGCGTAACGATGTGGGCACTGTCTCGGGGAGAGAGACTCGGTGAAAACGACATGTCTTTGAAGATGCGGACTGTAGAAAAATAAAAAATAAAAAAAACTTTAAATTTACAAATAATAATTAATAATGCTAAAATAGTAAAATTTATAATAAATTTCAATTATTAAGAGAATTAACTAGATAATTTTCAAATGAATATTCAAAAAATTTATATAAATTTAAAAATGAATTAAAAAATTAGTATGTTATTAATAAAAAATTTAGAATTCTTGAAATAAATTTTACAAAAGTTTTTTCTTTTATAACATATAAAAAAATATCATATGATGAATTTAAAATAAAAAAGTTAATACAAAAAAGTAGGAATTTAAAAAGTAGGTAAACATTTCTAAGAAATGTTTACCTGCTTTTTTAATTTTCTATAAAAAATTACCATAAATGACATAGAAATTGGCCACCAATTTTATTTTTACGAGCTTCTTGATCTAGAATGCTGTCATTCCTCCATGCAGGAGTACCTTAGCTGTAGAGGTTAGATTTCTATGGACCAAAGTCTTGCAATGGGTACCCAATATCCATCCATACCCATGGCACATTGGGTAGATAATGGACGCATGGGTGGGTACTACCCAATCAACGGAGAATTTCTCAGCTGATTGTTGCTATGGCACTCAACATGTTGAATAAACGTCAAAAGTATTGCTGTTTTTGACTTCTGGAAGACACCCCATCATTATTGTACCTCCACTTGTTTTGCTCAAGCTTTTTTTATTGTTGTCAGAAGAGAGAGTGAGAACGAAGATGAAGGAGACACCGATGAATATAACTTCATTTTTGCCCGCATAGCATTATAGTGAATAGTTGTGCATCGCCCTTTGGGATGCTCGAAGTTAAAAATGATTAATTATGGGATATTTTAGACATGAACATTACACATCGATATGTGATATGAAATCTTGTTTCATAAATTAGGGTATTCTCTGCTCCGTAAAGCTAAAAGCTTGCTTATTTTCTCCATCAACTTCATAGAATGTTAAGTAATCTTGGATCCAAAGATAAAAAAGTGAAGAGCATATTTTCTCATCAACTTCATAGAATGTTAAGTAATGAAGAGCATCTGAGAGATAACTGAAAATGACTGCGTTCTCATGCTGGTTAGTACCGCAGTCCTCTACTCTACGTTACTTAATTGGTGGAATTGATTGAACTGAATTTCTGGAAGATTTATGTGAATCAGATTATCAAATTATGAATAAGTATGTAACTGTTTACAATAAATCACTGGCAGTTAGCTAATTTTTAAAAACAAATCAAACCACGTGATAGACTGATGGGTATGATGACAAGGTGCCCTGGATTGATGAGTATGAGTTGGGTGGATAATGACAAGGTGCCATGGACGGGTATAGTTGACCCACTACCGGCCATGTGTCCGGTATGGGTACAATTGTCAAGTCCAATGGAGGACTCTGTTGTGGACACACAAGGTTAGAAAATTAGAGCAAAATATTGGTGGACAGACGAGAATTTGAAGCTGCAAGGAGAAGCTCGCTGCGTAGTGAGCTATCGTCGAAAACTTTTCGACCTGAAGATTGGAAGTTAGAAGTCCGCGACCAATCGTGTCAATTTTGTGAGCAGAGCACAGAACGAAAGAATCAAATGACACTAGGTTATACATGCAGCTAAATACATTCGGGTCCGAAATCATATCAGTGGAATGATCCAAGAGACGGGAACTTGGTGGATGATCACATATAGCATCGGAGCTCAGCCTAAATATAACATCTCAAAAACTACCTGTATTTCTGAAGGTCTAAAATGGCTTGCATACTGAATTTTATGGTATCGAAAGGATGGGAGATGAATGTGGAAATAGATCCGGAAACGACACCAGCAGGGACCGTCGCCAGCGTCTGTCGATCTTTGAAACTGACGGCAGCTTGAAACTTCTCTTGAAAAAGTGGATTTACATCCAGATATGCCGCTGTGAAGAAGCCTTCTCTTACCAATGTTGGAGGCCGAGAATGCAAGTTCTAGCTCACTTTCAGAGGATATATGCTACGGAGACTTGAGGAGAGGATGAAAGGATCAGAAACTGTTTATGAACAAGATAAATGACAAACTCAAAAAGCGAAAATGGCACCCAATTGAATACACTTCAGCTACTTCTCTTCAGGAAGTTTTCCTAACCTTCCTGATGGGTGAAAGGAAATCGTTCGGTTTTTTAACTAGTTGTCAATAAAGATTCGGTGACCGCCGTTTGCTGTTTCCATTGGCAGCAAAGTATATAACGTGGACATGTGGGTTGATCCAGAACTAGAACTCTTCACTGCCACTCAAGACTTCTGAAAATCACCTTGAGCTGAAAACCTAAGTCTAATTTAGAAAGCCGAAAACCAAACACTTGGTCCATACATTTCAGGCGCAGTTTGAGACCAAACGTTGTGTAGTTACAAAGGCATCATTAAGGATCAAGAAGTGGAGATTCAAATCCGCAACAACGACCAGCTCCCAGTTGGCACGGACTTCAGTCCTAAATCGTCAGGTATCCTACAGCTGTTCAGATCTACTGGGCTTCAAATATCTCTACAGTAATCAACCCCGTCAGACAAGCCACGAGTGCCGCCGCACTGTACACAGATTCGCAACCTACGTGACAGCTCAGATTCAAGCCCTGAACGAACCAAATTATACTAGAGGTGATGAATTCAAACCTAATGACAATGACTTCGATACTGCCAGCTTCGTGTCATCGCTAAACAGAGAGAAGTCACATACCAGGAATACCCTAAAGCTTCGGATCCACTACACTTCAACATTCAGCATAGGCACAAGCGATATAGTCGAGGAAACTCTTGGAATTAGGTATTGAATAAATAAAGATATTCTTATGCTACAATTCGAGGGTAGAGGAGACCACAAAAGCCGATGATGATACCCAACACGCTGATGCACATTCCAAAAATTAGAGCCCAGTCCACCCAGGACCATCGCTCCCTCAAAATCTCTAAGGCCATGGAACCCTTTCCTACCTTGTAGTTTACTGCTCTTGCTTCTCTACGGCTTTCATACTCGTCGTTAACCGTCATATACTCTCCACTTAAGCTCACGCCTATCCTCTGACCCCTTAGGGATCTGGACACTTTCCTGTTTCGAGTATTCGAAGGGACGGACTTTTCATAATTGTTACCAAGACCTTTGTCTGAAGAAAAAGTTCTCGTAACCAAAGGAAGCAGTTTCACTTCATCTAGTCCAAATCTCACTTTCTTAAGATTTTCTTCCAAAACATCAGTACCGCATGCCGACGAGCAGGGTTTCTTAGCTTCGGAGTGATTCTCACTGTCCTCTGCACAAGCACATGTCTCGGACCCCATGTCGCTACAACTGCGATTGTCACTTCGCATCTGATGTCCACGAACAGACTCAGACGCCTCCCACCAATTTACATGACCTCCGACTTCACCTACAACACTCGACAGGGGATGAACGGGTTCGCCCATAACAGACCATCTACCAACAGAGGTTATTTTCACGTCGACATTGGACCCCAGCAAAACATCCGAAGCTGGAAGTAGTACCTGCACGTACGACTTTGTGTGCCCTACCTGCACAAGTTAAACAGATGTATAAACGCCAGACTCGCCCGAATGACATGGTATAATGGGTGCTAAATGCGTGCACAACAGAACTTTCCTTACAAAAGAGTCCATTTGTATCTCACTTCTACCTGGAAAGTGGTAATAAACAAGGCACTCATACGTCTTAATTCAGTCAGGCGTGAAACCTACAGCCTTTCCCTGTGTCACATCCACATTCCACATGCTTTTTACTATGAGTGTAAGAGACGTACGAGATGAATCCCGTCTGCAGCAACGTCAGTAATCCAGACCCTTTCGACCTTGCCTTCCATGCCCTCGTATGGATTAAAACTTTCAAATACGCTCGTCAGTTGCCGACTACGCTTCTTCACCTCCGCAGTGGGGACACGCTTCATTCGAGCGGCTGGAGTGCCTGAATAAAAACATTTTAAGACTCAGAATTGTTACTGGAGTGCCTACCTCAATAGGCTGGTCTATCCTAACTTAAGTATAACTGGTAAAGAGCAACAGCTTTACATTTCAACACGAGAATGCTCTGTTTTGCCTCTCGAGACCCAAAAGCATTGTCTTTCAACCTCTATGTTCCTGACAGTCTGTAATGAGGCTCCTAAGCTTCGAACTTAAACCTTGGCAAACGAATCTGGATACGAGTCTCCTCCAAAACTCATCGAATCAATTCTCAACGTACCTGGTCTTGGATAGAACTGTGAAATGTGGACTTGAGGAAATTTGTACTCCTGAATAAGTGCCACGGTCTGCTCGAAATCCTCAAGAGTCTCGCCTGCACATGGGAAGTTGGTAACTACTCAGTATCTACCAACCTCGCTGCGAGCTGTTCCAAAACCTTCCGAAATCTGCTTCGTGAATAATAAAGTAATACTAAAATACCTTCTTAGTAATTGAGGGATAGGATAGAAGCTAAAATTGGTATCAATGGAACAAGCCAAACATTTCAAAAATATTCGAACATGTCAGCAAGATTGTTTTTATATATATTATAATTCATAAATAGGTCGTACATTCGGCACTTAAAAAATTTAAGGGGATATTATCAAAATTTGACAAATTTTCTATTCATTAACTTCTATAATATCAATTGAGAAACTGGATCCAGGTGATTTGCTCGTATGACTTTGTCCTCAATTGAGAGGTTGAAGACAATTACAAGGTGATGTGATGGAATCGCAACTGGAGCTTGTTAAGACCAAGAATTACAGCTCAGTTGAGAAGGTATATAATAGACAAAAAGTGGTATGTAGAAAAGCATACCAGGGAAGCCACAAATTATATCTGTTGCAATGTGTATCTCAGGGACCAGGCGCAAAAGAGTATCGGCAACTTGTCGGAATTCCGAAACGGTGTACTCTCTCTTCATTGCCTGCAATCAAAAAGCTCAAAGTTAGTAATCAAAGTCTATAATTAAGACCGTGCTTCAACAGTCTGAATGACAAAAAGCTAGAATTTGTCAGTGGACATCCCTGATCCAGACCTGTACGAAGAAGAGTAGGACGAAAAACTTGCATTTGTAAAGAATAAGGGGTTTAGGGCACACAAGCATCAATATTGAATTAAGTAGTGCATGACCGAGCGCAGGAGCTTAGCACCCAATGAACCGTCCAGCACACAGGGCTCAGATACCATCACCGGGACTCTAACAGTTGACAGAAACAGACACGGCACAACAGAAAGGAGGCACACATCCCATTAATATTAAACTGAAACAATGTCTTTTGAAAATTTGCTCAGTCCAAAATTTTCCCAAGTGCAATAAACGTATATTGGATAGTATATACGAAGATTGTAATCGTAAGCAAGATAGTAGTAATCTTATGACGTGTGCACCAGCAAGGAATTTAGATCTCTTGGTGTGCAAAAGAACGTGAGTTGCAAACATTTCCCGTAAAGAAATCTGTAAGCTGAAAGATAGTCAAGCAAAGAAACTGAGGTATATTCCAATCATCGGGTACCCTGTACAAAAAGTCCACAAGATAAACTGATGGCAATCAACTGAAGCTTCGTCAGTAGGTGAGAAAATAATGAAATCGGTTGATGCAGAGAACATACACTTAGAACAGCATCGCTCCCAGACTGGACTGGCACGTGGAGGAAAGAGTACATGCATGGATGTCGTAGAGCCTCAGCTATTGCTTCAAGGTGCTGTAAGATGTATGGTGGATTAGTCATCCCAATCCGCAACATTGTGCTCCTGTCCTCAGGGAGCTCTGCTATGAGAGCTCGTAAAAGTGTTGGCAAATCCGTACCTATATCTCGACCTGTAATGCACCGAGAAAGAGGCTTAACACTACACGTGGTGTTTCCATATAAACAGCGTAATAACAAGAAGAGCCGTCCTCACGACCACCGTCCTTAACTGACTCGAGTAAGACACAAAAAAGAAGCAACACTTAGCTTGACTGAACTAATCAACTTGATGCGCTAATCATGAAGAAACAACTATAAAAAGGAGGATGATTTGTTACCGTAAGCTCCTGTGTCCTCGCTACTAAGCCAAATCTCTTTTACACCATCATCTATGACGGACCTTACCCTCTCTACCTGTCATACATCAAGAAATACAGTCAGCCATAGAACTAACTTCCACTCGTTTAACATCATAAGGAAATATATATAGCAGACAAGCAGAAACTTTAAACGCGGAAATTCCCACGATATTAACTTACAAGAGCAGCAACAGTATAGCTTCCAAGGTGCCCTCGCGCATGCTTGGTTTTGCAGTACGTGCAAGCCCCAAGACAACCCACGTTTATGGGGATTATCTCGACGAACTTGTTCTTCCTCACCTGAAACAAATAACCCAAAATCCCAATCAAAGTTGATTGAACAAATTACTTCGCAAGCTCAATAAACTAAAGCATCCAAGGTAAATCGGGAGTGATTAGGTCAAAATCCATCATAAATATTCTCCTTAGGAATTATGTCCTCGATGCTAACAGCCTGTCACAGCCTGAAGACCGGAGAACCTGCGCCAGCTGCGATGCTAGCAGTAATAGACTAAGAACAAGAGGATGTAGAAGATAGCTTGATCGCTTCGCCCCTCTGTGCAGTTCCATTTCTTCGCAACTTATGCACACGATATTCAAATGTTTTTCATTCTTTGTCGTCAACCATCTACGACGGTTGATCAAATTGTTATCGGCTGTCATATGCCACCTTAAGTTCATATTTAGGCTATTTATTACAAATAAGGATGATTGTACCGTTTTTATCTTTGAGAAAAAACTGACCTATACTTTTGATTCAGGACGCGGGATGGGTAGGATAATTTCAAGCGAAGTTAATCTTTCTGCTGTATCATGCTCATGAAGCTACAATTGTAAAGTTGATTCCACTACAGACACCACACCATTGTGATCGCTCACCTTCGGTAGATCCAGTGCAGGAAGAGTTTGCCGACGCAAGAGTCGAACCTCATGACCCTTCAGAGTCTCCTCTACTACCTCCACTACTCGATCTATCTGTTGAACTCCAACAATGCTTATTCCTTCCAGTTCCTTCAAGTTACTATTTCCCTGCGGAACACAACCAGCTACCACCAGAGGCTTCTTGGCATCCTTGCCTCTACGAATTATAGTCTCCATCGCTGACTGGCTGGGATTTTTCACCGTGCATCTGCAAATTTGTAAAGAACATAGTATCTTACAAATGGAACCGAAAGCGGAAATCGATACTGAAACATATTGAAGACACTTAATCAGACTGCACTTAAACTTACATATTTTGGTTAAGTTCAACAACAAATAATTCCACGTTTTTATTCTGTGGGCTCTATAACAAACAGATGGATGGGAGACAGCATACTACATTCCTTCAAAAATTCCGGAAAATATGTGTTCGAACGAAACATCAACGAAAAGTCCCTGGACTTGGATAATTTTTTTAGCAATACGGAGTTACCTCAGAATTAGAGGATCAAACAGACTAAGTCCAGCACAAAATTTGAAGGAATTCAAGGAGGAAAAACTAAGGAGTTCATAAAAAATCATGATCTTGATAAACACCTACTTTGAGAACGGTAGTAGTGTTTCTCACGTATTTATAAGCCACAAATCAGCTCCTTCCGGTTCCTCTGTGATGGAGTAGCCGTATGCAGCAAGCTGGCCAGCCATGTACTCACTGTCACTCTGTTCAGATACGGAGCCGAAAGTTACAGTTAAACAACAACATCCAGCTTCAATTTATGACGATAAACAGCCCTAAACAGTACCCTGGAGAGTGCGGGAATCCGATAGTAAATTCCAACAATAAGAACGTCCCCCAACAACGTTAAACAATGTTTCTCATAAATCACAACCCACGAAAAAAGATACAACCCACGTTACTATGAGATATAGAACTCCCGTCAATCATCCAACAGGTGTGCTGCCGGGTTGGGGAAAGTCGAACCTGATTGTGAGAACATCCAAAGGTTTTCAAATATATGGTCTGCAAGAAACAACCACACAAAATGTGAATTGTTATCGACTCAAAATTGACGTTAAAAATTGCAGAAAATAAAGTTGAAATGCAACATATTGACGTCGTCGACCTCTACAGCCGAAGGATAATTACATGCTCCATCGTGATATGACAATGTTCAGCAAAATTTTCAAGACGGGTCGAATCAATACACACCTGACTTCCAGGTATATAGTTTCCAGACAAGCCATCGGAAGAAACATGAACATCAGCTAATTTCACCGTGGAACTCCTCCTCGTTGAGATGTTCTTGCGAGATTTGTACGAAACTGAAGAGCGCAACTCACGGTTTGGAAATCCAGCTTGTAAACCCTTTGCCATGTCCTCGATGTCCTCCATGTCTCCTCCCCCTCCTACCTCTGACTCAGGCTTCTCGTTTGAAACCATTTCTGCGACTTCTGCGATTCCCATTCCTGACGATCAGTTTGTCAGTCAGCAGGGAACTCTCAGGCACATGCTGAATCCGGCAATTTATTGTTCACATATCGTGGAAACTGAGCTCATAGAGTTGAGGTATTCATCTCAACCACACATTGTCAAATGCATCGTTCTCCTATACAGAGTTGCTGAGAGTACTGAATTTTCCAGATATATCATTACGTCATAGTCTTTTGGAGGACACTCGGTCTTGGTGCATCGTCATACGGCTTGCAAGGCAGTAAGCTTTTCCCGAATAACAAACTAAGCCAATTGGTCATTAGCAGTAAGCTAATAAACCCCGACAAAAAATTCCAGCAAAATCTTTCGTCAATGTGAAAAACCAGTGCTTTAGACTTCCTCAACATGCTTTGGGGCCAAGGTACCGATGACACTTTGCTTGAGCTGGCTGGAGATATTAGTCCAACTTATCTTACAAACCTCTTTTGTTTTGGCTCCGCAAGGTGGTTCAGTTTGTGACCGTTCCTTAAATATGTTCAGGCAAGCAAGAGGGGTAAGAGAGACAGTAGGTAACAACCGTCAGAGTAATAGTGAGAAGAACTTTTGACAGTAAGGTGACAAACAAACAAGCATACCAGCAACTTAATCAAATTAGCAGAAGAGTACAACACAACTCAACCACTATATTCTGCGTCTAATGAAGTAACATTTGAGAAATAATAGGCATGTGAAAGGTCCCCAGGAAATAATTGTGCACACTTGAAAACCAGAAGCGTTTGACGCGAGAAGCTGTTTTGTGAGATTGTTATCCACACTTTCAGCATTTTATCATTTTATCATCATACGGAACAAACAAACCATGAGGTACAAAATACCAATGAAGAGCACGCCGCTTCTTGTCCGGCGTGAAGTAAAGATAATGAGAATTGTCAGAAATGAAATTCTTGTGAGTGAATCGAAGAGAATGAAGTATAAAATGGAAGAACAAGCTCCATAAATAATTTACGCTTTGATCCATTTTCACCTCTTGAAATGCACTCAAGTCTTACGTCTTTGCTTAGCAAAGTTTTTTCTCTCTTACTAAACTCCTAATCTCTTCCGTCATAGAAGTTTCCACTTGCCGTTGCGACGATGTCATGTCTTATGCTCACCTACAGACAGACGGAAAACTCCAACTCGGGAAACATATCCAACCTTTCAATGTTTCATAAGCGACTAATTAGTATATATTAAATTTATCTCTAAATTCCAGTTTCCTGAAAGAGTGCTTGATCTTAGATATACTTCATTTATTCTATCTTTCGAAATCGGTTGGAACGTCGTCCTGAACATTTCTCCACATGATATCTCCAAACAGGGCAAAGAGGGAATCAAGCTTGCTGGTGCAGTCCATTTTTGTGGGAAGACAAGATGGTAATGTTCAAGCTAAGAAATTCCTCAACTCGACCCTTCTGACATATTTCATTCTTTAGCTCCCCAAAGAGTAACGTCACCGGATGAGTTGTTCCGGCCTATGAGCTCGCCACAGCAACCTGGCTCATCAATTGAAAATCGATAAACTGAGCAAATCGAAGCACGCTCAAAAAAAACTGAGGTTCACTGGCATGAAATTCGAGCAATCGTCTGCATGACCGGATGAAAACACCACTCACCAGAACTCCCGGCCCAAAAGTGCCTCAATCCGCTGTATCACATCATCAGGACAGAATAATCTCCTCAGAATTTGGAGCAGGCGAGAGCTGCACTGCCCCTGGAGAAATCTTAAATTCCCCACAGCGTACCTGTGATTTTCAAAAGGCCCCGTGAAGACGTGCTTGCTCGATTCAAACGTACCCCATCAGCAATTCAACCAGATTCCACAACCCTCAGTCCTCTGCTGCCATCGAAAACCTTCCTAGGGTTTAGCACAGAATTCTGGTACGCCACATACACCTCCGCTGCTTATCGGCGGGACGTCTGTCAGCCATAATTTGCAACCTTGTGCTTCATCTGTCGAGATCGATGTTAGACGAGGGTGATCAGGCAGACAAGCCTTCGAAGCATGCTCCAGTCGCCACAGACACCCACATTCGACTCCACTCGCTTTCTCGCGTTCGTAGGAACCCCTTCACTGACGACGGCTTTCCACGACACCGAAAGCTTCACTTGAGAACTGCAGAGTGCATACACGCTTCTGGCTTTCGGACCTGCTCGGCAGGTTTCCGGTCACCGCCATCCATGGTACAGATGCATTTTGCCCCATGCAAGTTGGAAAAGGTGAATAAAAAGAAACGTTGGAGTACGGGCAGAAACACATGGGTATGGATTCCAAGATAGTACACCCAATTTAATCAATTCGATTCAACCTTAGTCTTATTAACTAAAGCTGACCAAGAAACTCCATTTATAATAAATCTACACTTGCATATAGCATTCACCACAATGTTACTCTTCATGACAAATCACATGTCATAAACTTAACCCTTCTAGATCCAATGATATCATTAAAGGCATCCATTGATCCTCGAAATCATCATGATTAAATTGTTGATAAAAGTAAATAAAGGAAAAAAAATGGAATGGGTTGACGAAACAATATTGGACAAAAATAAGTCAAACAAACTTGTGTGTTTTTATGTACAATATAAAAAAAAAGTAAATAAAGAAAAATTTATGTACAATATATTTTTGAAAAGTCCAATATGTGAATGGAAAAAGAAAAAGAAAATTATTTAGTTGCCATTTTCAAAATGCATTTTCTGCTTAATTTTAAATGGAAAAAACCCTTACAGCATATATTAATACATTAGTAATAAATTAAGCTCAGTAATGAGCAGCAGCAGAATTGTAGTGTAGCAATATTTGATTTAGATATGTGTGTCATAAAGATACCACTAACACAAAGAAACTTTATTGTGATAGTCAAAGCAATTAAAATTTATTTATGAAAATAAATTGAATTATATCTACATTAAAGACATTTGACAAAATAAGTGATTTTGTCAAGGTTTGTTGTAAAATTCAAATCGTTTTGATGAGTATAATATGATATTTCTTGACAACAATCTTGTAAAAATAGTGTCAAATTTTAGTGATTGCATATGATCACAACTAACATAAATAAACTATCATATTACATGAAAATTTATTCAATTTGATATTTTTTTTCATTGCAATTTTTTGGATCTTTTAACCAATTGATAAATCATGAAGATCTATTACAAAAAAATCAACTCTTTTGATTTGCATATATTTTTAAAATTTGGATTATATTGATCATTTAATTGATTCAGACTAGAATTGATGATGATTATTATGATTATTCAATGATATTAAAAATAATATTATATTATTTTCATTCAAAAAATATTTTAACAATTTACTTTTTGATACATATGTTTATTTGTGCATTTTTTTTATCATCAATAGATGCAATCAATCTAAATTTTATCATATCATGGATTTTTTTTTATTTTTTAAACATTTTTCCAAGTAAATCTTGAATATCCATTGCATGATTTCATTATAGAAGACTGAAATAACTTTAATAATTAAAATTTTGAAAAAAAATTGTGTGCAAGTTGTGTATAAACCCCGGCAAGGTAAGGTAAAAGGTTATTAGATAATGCATGGAACTTTAACTTTACTTTACATTTTATGTTACATGCATCACTACTAATTATCTTTACCCTTTACATCTACCTCAGGTTAATTTATCTGATTACTTGGTTACATTCTTAAAAGTTAGAAGGTTACACATACCAAATAACCCTTTAGAGTTAAACCGGAAATCATTCTCGGATCACGAAGGCATCAAGAGCACGTTCTTATGAGGCAAAATTTTTAAAGTACAAACAACAAAGCACGCAGATCCAAAGTACATGCAAAATCATTCGAACTCGAATCGAGTATACAAGCAAAGAGAAAGAGTTTGTCGGGAAGAGAAGAGTCTACTCACCTACCAGTCTCTTCAACGATATCACATGCTTTGGCCGAATTGCACACACGTATCATCAATCGCTTCACCCGCAACAATAGTTCTCCGCTTGAGCCCAAATTAGGCTCTTATGAGCTCCGCTTCCAACTTACTCCAAGCGTTGCTCCCTTGCTCACGGCATCGACGACGATGCAACCATGACGTGATGAAGGGCACTTCCAGCGTTGCGCTTCCTCATAAACACAGCACGCTTTCTCCATGAATTCTGTCTTTTGCAATGGTAGAAGGTTATCCGGTAATTATCGAATAATTCATTTAGCTCTACCTTTAACTTATACGTTAACTTATCTATAGCCTAGCATTTTTCTTTTACCTCTACCTTTTACCTTTTGTACCGGTAACCCTAAAATATTACTTTACCTTGTTGAGGCTTAGTTGTGTACTTTGAATCTCATTCATGATATTAGACATAAGTAACACTTGAGATAAAAAAATACATTTTGAATAAATTAGATATACTATCATCATCGTAGTATATGAAACATATTTCAAAAAAGTTTGAATTTTTTTGATTCAGAAATAAAATTTAGTATCTAAGAAATTTATAAAGTGAAAAAAATTCATAATTGATGAGTTTTTACATATATTATATAATTATTTATTTATTTAAAATTTTATGTACTTTTAAAAAAAGGTATATATATAACATTTTTAGCAATAGAAAAGTTTGATTTAAATAGAATAACATATTAAATTAATTTTCAAATTGGTTTTTTTCATATTCAAATTACAATATTGTATGATAAAATAATGTTAAAGAATTCATGCTTTCAAGCATAAAGTGTGCATTTTAAAGTATATTTATTCACTTAAAAAAAGTAACACTTAAAGTATAAAATTACTAATTAACGTAAAAAAGAAAAAAATTAAAATCTTTGAGTAAAAAATGTGAATCTACAAAAACATGTGAAAATTTGGTATGTATTGTTGATGAACATGACTTTTCAAATATAACACTGAAAGGTGCTCAAGTCAAATTTATCATAAATATTATTTGCAGAATGACATAAATAAAATTGAAAATCTGAGTCGGCAAATACTCTTGTCCGTTGTTGTCAAACAAACAAAAAACTACTTTTCAACAACAACCACCGGTGAAGAATTGCTATTGCATCTCTTTTTTTTGCCATAGACAAGATTGGAAATCCAAATCCACTTTTACTTTTATCTATTCCTAGAGTGTTCTTGATGTTCATTTTTTTTGCTGTTGAAGAATTGTTATCAATGAAATGTCATCAAAGAAGCACAAAACTTCATTTAATTTTGCTAACAAATTTACAAATGGGCTGAACATCTTGACGCGAAAACCATTGTCAAGTGTCGTTACATTAGTTTTGTGTTGCTCTTGTCAAATAGGGTACCATAAAAAAAGTTCAAACAAAAGCTCAAGTATGCTAGAATCAAAAAATACTTCAAGGTTTCATATCGACATGAAACTGTACTCAAAGCATCTCAAAGCCAACACTAGCCGAAATGTAATGAGTGTTGTGCTGTGCCAATATATGTCAAGCAAACTTTATCTGATGACATTGCTTTAGTGAATCCTATACATTCTCATTTTGTTGAGTCGGATGATTGGTTGTATTTTGACATAAATGTAAACATCGTTGATACGATTATACGTAAACTTCTATTTGATCTCCAGGTTGAAGATATTTTTATAAATGTAAACATCGTTGATACGATTATACGTAAACTTCTATTTGATCTCCAGGTTGAAGATATTTTTATTGATAGGACGTTGAGATTTTTGAGCGAGCAATTATGATAATATGATTGTAGATTATTAAGTTCATATCAAGAACATCAAGCTTTTCAAGCTTGTTATTAAGATAGTTGGTCTTAGCTTTTTGTTAATGTTAACTTTGTTCTAAGTGGAGTATGCACGCAAAATAATGACTCTTAGTTATCTTGGCAAATGCAATGAGACAAAAATATCATCATATGTTCGAATTGCTGCCGTCGTTTGACTTCAAAAATTCAACAAATTACTTGCTAGTTGCTGGATCTAATATGTTGATTCGATTCATCAACTGTTGAAAGCACTTCATATTTTGACGTTTGAATGAGATTTGTTATAATATTCAAGCTGTATTGCTTCCATTTATGTTATTGTTCTCTTTACGGACAGCACATCAGAGATAATTTGTTCGAGACATCCGAGAAGACTATGGATGCAATTTTTTTGTCTTGGTGATACATATTATCAACATGTGTTGATGGTATCAAGAATATGACCGACCAAGTTCATATAATAGTGATTTGTGTTTCTATTCGAGTTGAAAAAGAAGATTGCTACTTGCATTGCAACTGGTGTGGTGCACATCAACTTGATATTGTTGTTCAAGCTGTTATTCTTGTATGTTTCAACAAAAAATTTGTTTGACGTTAACTACCACCATTTGATACCTGCGTGGATAATGAAACTTGATCAACAAAATGCAATGTGAATATCTAAAGATCGCTATGACTTATTGGTTATCATTAGAGAAAGTGTTGATTAGATTTTCAACCCATCTTTGTTGCATTGTTGAATATATACATCAAAGAATTATGACTTGACAAGCTTTAGCTCTTCTCAACTTTAGACAAGCTATCAAATTGCAATAAACAAACCACAGCCTCAAACAAAGTGCATAACAACGTTCTTGTCAATCTTGTAAAAACCGTTACAACATCAAATGTCTTGATCTTGTTCAATTTGCAATTTAAAAAGTGTACTTTGTAATTCTGTGACGTGCCCAAGACATTAGATGATATAAAAAAGATGGCTTGTTGTTGTTGCTGAGAAGAATGTTGTGGTTTGTTGTGCTAGAAACCTAGTTGTTAATTTGACAGCCAAAATACATGCGATCAAGCCAGAAAGGAATGATAACAATGCATCGGCAACGTCTTAACCTCCATGTCTTACTCGCGAATTTGCGACCATGTTTGCATCAAGCTTAGTGGACCTCATCATCAGATTCTGATCTCGCATTGATAAAAACTTGGTAATGATTGCATTGACATACTAAAACAAACAAATAAATTTGTGGATTGTTTATCAAAGAGAAGATGTACTTCATGAAACAGTTGATTAAATGCCAGATTCCGTCAACTTTCATGAAGCATGGAATTCTTTTGAACCACAATTTTCCAAATTGTGTACGTTTGCTATAATATTTGCTAATGTATATCATACTACCATGTTTATGGAGAGTGATTTTTCCACGGTTAGCTGGGAGAAAGAGGAGTACATGTGTTAATGAATATGTTACTCGAGTACATCATGCATTGTAAACAATTCTAGCAAATTCAAGCAATTTAAAACTGTGGTTCACATTTGTCATAATTTGACTGATGCCATGATGAATTGATTTATGAAAAATTTGATAAATGTCCAATTAGCAGAGGTCTAATCATCAATCTTCATTATTAATTTTTGTTTCATAAAAATTATAGGTTCATCCATCTTATAAATATATGCATAATAAATTATTATAAAATTATGATAGAGAAAAAAATCACTAAACTCTAACATTATAAGCTTAATTTACTTTAATGAATCAAAATAGAAAAAATCTCAACATCTAGAATCTTCCCATTATAATCTTCCCGTGATTTGTGAATAGATACTATGATAGATATTATTTTCAACTCACAGATTGTTCATGTGTACATCAAAAAACACGATGAGAACTAAACTTGACTTATGATTTAACATACACACGGATTTTTTATATGATTACTAACTCATTGTTTAAAACTCCATTGGTATGTCATCAAACTCCGCATTGAATAAACCTCAAAATGTTATTTTATTTTATAAACTAAGAAAATATCGTCCAAATGATTTTTAATTGATATTTCCATAAGAGATATTCAAAAGATCCATGATACTTGAGAAAATAAATTATAAAATCTTCAAATTCCAGACTACTATCTTATAATGATTGACTTTATACTCCTCCATAGTCTTATCCAATACTCAAATTAAACCTAAAAACTTGAATCTTCTACATTCATACACGGAAAAGAAAAAATGACCCTTGACAAATCTCTAAATCACAACATCAACACATCATGAACCTGGATCACAACGGGATGCTTTTAAAAAGTAAATAATTCGGGGTTGAACTTGGGTTGAGAAAAACTTTAGACATTTACACTTCATCCCCTAGAATCTTGAAGTTCCACCAAAAGGCCATATATATGATTATTCATATCATTTTCATATTGTCGAACATGTGAGGAGCAGAAAAGCTAGTCCATATCTGCTTTTCCAGAAGACAAATATGACATGGATTTCGGCATTCCATACAAGGCAGTTCTCACCTATTTTCTTATCCAGGCTATACACGTGTCATTCGTATAGCAACAAACTGACTGCTTGTTCTCTTTCTTGTTGGGAGTTTAACGATTTCAGTGGAGTAGGCCCGCAGTTAGAGAACAATTTGGCTCGTCAGTAAGGAACATGTATTCACTTCAAACGCAGTAGAGGTTTTGTGATTTTGGTTTTCAGGTTGGTTACTTCTCTCATCAGATCTTACTCTCACTTTAAAATGCTTTTGAGCATATTCTAGCGTGCAGACCTAGGTTATTAAGACATTTCATGCACGCAGCTTTCGGTCACGTTTCATGCACAGTCCAATGATCCTCATGATGTTTCTGAGGATGTCAATTCTTAAAGGCTCTTAGTTTTAATCAACTCTTTCTGAGCATTCTCAAATTGTGTAAGGGCATTCAGAACTGTATTCATAATTCCGCATGCAACTGTGACAGGGTGACGCGAAAAGTGCAATTCGAGATTAGAGCGCGTGTATCATATGAGAAAGGAATGTCCCAGAATCCTACGTGGCGAAAAGTGCAATTAGAGTGTAGAGTGCGTGTAACATATGTGAAAGGATTTCCCCCCAGAGTCCTACGTAGGACTTTGTGGGAAATTCCATCACATTAGGTACCCCGCAACATATCCAAACTATGTAGTAAATACGTCTTTGTATTTTATTAAAAAATATATACAATATACCTATATTTTTCTAGTCTGGATTAGATTTTGTACTGCTTAGGACGATGCGGGGAATTCCATCACATTAGGTACCCCGCAGCACATCCAAAATATGTAGTAAATACGTTTTTGTATTGTATTAACCAATATATACAATGTACCTAGATTTTCTGGATTCCGTAGATTACAATTTGTACTCTTTGTGTAGATTATTCTAATGAAAAAATATTCATTATTTGAAATTTATTAGCGAAAGCTATAAATATTAAAAAAATCACCTTAGACGATATAGTATTGCTTGCTTAAATTATTTAATCTAAATAATATAAAATTTAATTATTTTTAAAAAATAGAATCATAAAAAAATATAAATATATGTATACATTTCGACTCGTTCAGTGATTGCCTTTGCGTTCCTTGGATTCGTTCACGCCCACGAAAAAGCAATCATAGCGGAGGAGGTCAAAGTGGAACGAAGCTCCAGTCGTAACGCTGGTTCCCTGCAAAACTAGAGAACGTCGAACTAGAACCCAGAATGACGATCAACGAGCAACACATTTGATATGTAGCTCTCTAAATAGTACAGAAGGTGGACTATCTGAGAACTAGGACTAAGCTCGATCTTGTAGCGCATATTAAACTTAAGTCCCTGTTGTGTTATGTTCCCCATGAATGAACATCGCTCGTGAGTGTAAAGTACGCTTCTCAAGTGCAGCTGAAACATGGCCGTCCTGAAATAAAATCTCAATGCTTCACAATCGGAATGTGGATACCATTTTCATTCTTCCATCTACCGCCCAAAGAGTTATCATCAGCTCAGGAAGCAACTACAAACCGTGCCGTTGAATACTGAATTCCAGCCAGGCGCTGGAGCAGTTTGTACACAGCCTCCAGAACAGAGGAAGAGTAAGATGAAATGATTTCATTGATCTGTCTCCAGATTATGGCAAACAGGGGAAAAGTGAACTGAGAAGGTGAGAAGAGCTGTTCCCTTGATGGTTTCTCTGTTGTCACACACATTACACTTCATGATTCGACGAGGGCCAAAGTCGTGAGACCAGATTTAGATCCCTCCTCCAGACACTGACCAATTAAGTCAACCAGGTGATTGAATGTTGATGCCACCAATAGCAGCAGTCAGGACTGGACATGGGAATCTATTTGCTATATGGGGCTTCTAAGTTGTCGGACCTGCTAGCTCTTTGCTGTCGCGATTGACAGTAACGAGAAATTGAAACAAGGGAAGAACGTCCCAACTCTCTGACCCACAGGAAGAGGGAACTGTGGTAGAGGCGGGATGCTAGAATTGGCCGCAAGAGGGAATCATGGAAGCACCGCAGAACAAATATCCGGATTCCTGAGCGAGGTGCAGAGTTCTGGTTTTGCAAGTTTCTCGTTTGCAGCCACAAACTGGGGAAACCCTGAGGATTGGGTGTGTTCACTGCGGCCACGGATTCCGAGCAGGCGTCAGGCGACGTGTGGAATTGCGTGAGCATTCATGGTGAATGCCGACAAGAGTACTGAAAGATCTTTGTCTGCCCGTAGCCACAGGTTGTGAGTCAGCGGCACCACCAGTGAGAGGGAGTTGGAGTAGGGGGTCAGACCGGGCGATGAATCTCAGCCTGAGGTACAGGAATCCGGAGGAACCGAATGAATGTCTGTGCCGTGTCAGCGCAGGGGCAATGGAGTAATTTTCTAATCGATTGGGCGAAGTTGAGGGGCAGTGTTGCAGTGGCGGGAGATTTTGTTCGCGAGCTGTACAAATGCCCAGCTTTATAAATTCCCCTTCACTTCCCGTGATAAAGATGCAGGTTGCCTGTTTGAACGTGTCGTCAATCGCCGCGAGGATTCCAATGCCGATTCGGAGTAATGTTAGTCGCTTGTCGAACCAGCCCGGCGTCGTGCAGATACGGCGCCCTGTTATCCTGTTCGATGTGATGGGCACCATCGTCCGCGATCCCTTTCATGACCGAATGCCTGCATACTTCGGGTTGGTTGCTCCTTCCTCCTGTCTTCCGAAGTTGGCGTGTTGGAATTCTCCGTTGTGCACATCGTGTACAGTCGGAGTTGCTTCCATGCACTCACTCACTCTAACCGATGAATTAGGAGACATGCACATGGCGTCATAAATTTGCCGTTTCTCAAGCTTGGGGTACAATACTGAGTGTGGTGGAGAATCAGGTAGACTGTCTAGCTGCGTGTTTTCCATTTACTGACTTTAGAGAGAGAGAGAGAGAGAGAGAGATTGATTGATTGATTTTGATTTGGGATTATAGAACAATTCGGGAAGGTAGCTCAGTCGTGCTTTCTGGGAATTGAAGAGCTCTGACTGTTTTATGCTTCTGTCCTGCGGGGCAAGTTCCACTAGTTGTGTCACAACACTTTTGGTACAAGTGTTGTGAGCTTGCAGTAGGGTGATGCTTCTCTGTATCTGAATTAGATGATTAGAAGTTGTTTTTTGACAGGAAGCGGTCAGGTACTTTTTTTTCGCGCAAAGTCTGATGCAAGGATGTTGCATATTTACAGATTCACTTTCAAGGAGCTCTTAGCCGCTAAACATCCCACAGCTTGGATTGAGTTTGAAAAGGGCTTATTGAGTGAGGTCCGTCAGTTCATTCCAATCCATTTTGAGTTTTGGCTGCGATGAGTTAGAATAAGATAGGCCTTTGAAGGTGTTCGAAGTCGCAGTGATTTGGTCGCAAGTTGTCATGATTGAAAAGCTCTCTGTTCATGATCAAGGAACTAATTTATCGACTCCAGTAACTCCAGGAAGAATTCGCTGCGAGCTTTTTCCAGGACGGAAGAGAGTATGATTACGAAGGTGTGTAATCTTCGCCTGAGAGCCTTTACCAATTTGAAGTGATTATCATGAAACTTAGAACCTTTCACCTGACCTGAGTAAAAATTGAACGTAATCGGCGTGTTGTGCATCGAATATCCGTCTCTCTGGTTTTAAATGTTGGTACTGAGCCGGAATTGTTGCTTACTTTTATTTCTTTTTATCACGGCCTCCCTCACTCACCAAACTAGAGACGAGGGAGGACATTTTAAATCTAGTATTTATGTAGGCTACTCGGACAATGTTGTTGATACGCTCTTCTTGAACACGGGCGTTTTTGAACTAAATCAGTGAAATTGGACTTGCATACCTAGTACTTCCTCCGCCTCAGCACTCACTACTCGCAGTACGTTCGTCTCTTGTAGTAATTACATAAACCCAATGTTTCTCATTCTCTCCCCAGCGTTTGTAAGGTTTCTGCAGAAGACCAGTCCTAGAGGGGCGCATGTCCGGATGCATGTGGAACAGTTTAGTACTTGACATGGACTACATTCTATTGTGCACATGGTGCATCTGATCGGAGAGATTACGAAACTCGTGTCGAGGTCCTCACACTCATCTGGTTTGCAGGATTAAAACAATGTATGTCAAGCGGTTATGAGTATTTAGATGGAATGGCGACCCTCTTGCAGCGTTTGAAAGGTGCAGGTTTTGAGATGCACGCTTTCAGCAACTATCCCAGCTGGTAAAGACCTCGCATTACCCTCTCCAAGATTCTGAACTTTCATGATCTTCTCTTGTTGACCAAGTTATTTCGTGGCTGTGAAAGGCAATTCAGCGACAAAGTAACACCTCAGCTGCGTTTCTGTAGGTACACTATGATTGAAAACAAACTGAAATTATCCCAGTACCTGCCCTGGACTTTTGTATCCTGCCACTCAGGTAAAATTTTCTCGCTGGTCAAGAGAGTTTGTTTTCTCATGATTCCCTTCCCTCTGCTTGCTTCATCCGACTGGCCTAAAGTTAGCTTTTGTACAGCTCACAACATATATGACGCAAACCTGACGAGCGTCTACTTGACATGCACTTCTGAATGCACAGGCTTAAGAAAACCAGATCATCAAGCATACTTGGACGCTGCAGAGCACTTGGGTGTTCAGCCGTCAGAGTGTATATTCGTCGATGACCAGTAAGCCATCTGTCCCCACTCGTCAGGTTGTCGTACACTTAGTTGTGATTTCTGAGCTCGTTTTTTCTAACGACAGGAGACTCAAAATGTGTCCTCATTCTGGGTCTGATTGATGACCAATACAGGCCACGGAATATAGAAGCAGCAGCGAAGGTGGGAATGTTGGCAATCCAGTTCCAAAATGCTGAAACTTTAGAGAAGGAGCTCGTGGCATGTGGGTGCAGCCTCCAACCTGAAGTGAGCTTCTCTTCTAAAGTCGTATGTGATCAAAGTTAGAAAACAACCGGTCCTCTCTTGCAGACTATGCGTACTCAGGGTCCCAGTAATTTTGACTGACTGGGTGCACTCGGTTAAGCATATATTAGGGTTTTGCAAAGTCAAAGCTCCAAGTGAACGTAGGATGAACTTGAAATAGAGTCTCATAGATGCGTGGAAACAGAACCCCATCTTTTGCCAATTTCTGACGTTTTGACACGATCTAGAGTGAACGTCTGCCCAAAGATACAAGAGCAGATGAGGGGTATTAGGTATGTACATCAAACAAGGCAATTGCCAGTTTAGAAATCTAGACCTGGTTCAACTCTTTTGTACAGTAGGAAATGTAATGAAATTCTTCGGAGGCACGTGAGAAATCTGAAGGATCTAAGAACAGGGAAAATCTGCAATCTGCAATGATCTCACCTGCATGCAACTGAAAGAGGGCAACGAATAATCTTCGCTGTGAAAAGTCTTTGTACCATATGAACTTGAGTAAGACTGGCTTCTTCATCAAACAAAGCGCGGCAAACAACTCTTGCCATCCCGTACACTTCATATGGAATAAGGGCACGCAAAAAGAAGCAGAGGTTGCGAGAGGTTTCGAGAGGTTTCGAGAGGCGAAATGCCTCTCGAAACGGTCACCATAAATTGTTCATGCTTCTGACACTTTGTTTACCATCGTTTGCGACTCTGATAGCCTTGTCGGTACTTTCAATCATAATATGGTACTTTCCCACTTGTCCTGCAAGTATCAATCTTGGTGCGAGTCGTCCCTGCCTGATTCCTAGCGTAGGTACCTCACTTACTAAGGCTTCATGTGGAATGTGATCCCTCACTGCAGTAGATCTACAGTCAAGCTGCAAATTTTTTTTGCAACCTTTCATGTCATTTGAAACCTTTCGAAGGGTGACAGTGGTGCTGAATTGATGCAGATACTCTGAGCTGTAGACTTTTGCTACAGCGTTGACTGGGATCACACGTCTTCTTTTTTGAATGTTTACTTTCTCATTCCTTCCTTCCCACAACTGGCTTTTCTTTTCTTTGCTTCCAACCATTCATTCATTCAACTTCTTCGGTACGTTCAGTGGTTTTCATTCTTTCCTTTCTTTCTGTGTCGTTAAAACTTTCTCATGGAGTATGTTCCAGAGACCTTTCCCGTTCTTGTAGTGAAATGGTGAACTGCTAAAACAGCAGACATTACTATTCCTTCCCTCATCCATTGATCGTGTGGTACTCACAAGAAGCTTCTTTTATACTCGGTGAATAATGGTGACTATTCTACACTAATTCTCCATGTTGCTCTCTCGGAAGTTGCCGTACCCGATGAAGCCCTTGAATTCCATCGGTCATCCTCACGATCGTACACGAACAAGAAACTCTTGTGTCGCCAGCATTGAGTTGTATATTTGAATGATCTGATTTCAAGTCCAGGTTCTTGATCTCTTAGTATCAAAATTGAGTTGATGTATGAAGGTTTCGCACTCCATTAGGATGAACATTATCGAATGAATATTCGATTGGAAACCAGCCGTGGCTATGAACACAATTAAACTATGAGTATTAGCTCATGAGGCTGCTTTTGGAAATCCCCATATCTCCCGCAATCTGCACGTCTTGAGCACAATCAACAGATTGAAGATTGAGACGAGGTCACTTCTGTCGCGAATGTATTTGCAGGGAGAATCACAGTTTGTTTACGTGATTTGAGTCAATAACGATGGTTTCATATGACAGTGAGTCAATGGATTGAAACGATTTTTCATGTATTTTCCGAACTTGAAATCTGGACGTGAATTTAGATTTTGACGTTGGTTTAATACCTGACAGCTGAGCCAGTACATTGAAACGATCATGTAATCCATATTGAAACGTACCTGTGATATACATTTTGCGTCAAACCAGCAAAGTGTTCATTTTTCCTGCACTTTCAAATCCTCGCCGCCCTATTGCTGTGCCATAACCGAACGCAGCAGTAGTTGCTCCGGTGTCCTTTGCAACCAATAGTTGTAGTATCGAAACGTCGTACATCACATCTGTTTACAGGAGATAATTCTATTCTATAGATAATTCTATCTCCACCAGATAAGTCCAGAAAACTCTATGTCGCCTAAGCTTCCCTGTAGCCTTCAGCGACTCACCTGATGTACCAAAACTTGCGCAGAGGGATGAAGTTCTCTACCACTTGCAACTGAGTGCACCGTCGATCATGCTACAGATTGTGGACTTGGTGATTAGATTGGAAATAAACGCTCCGAATACCAGAGAGGACTTAATCTGAACACAGAAGGTGAGAAACGGCATCGAGAATCTATTCTCGAGAGGCAAAGTTGCGAGAAAAGCGTCGAGATGATTCGAGCATGGACGGCGTGAAGACTGAGGACCACCTACAATAGTACAAATCGGAAAGCCAGCACTGCAAAGGATAATAAAACCACGCAGCCATCGGAGCTAAGGATTGAACGCGGCAACTCACCAGTCCCTCGAATTGGCAGCCCATTCCTCCAATCAATCAATCATTCACTCGTCTCACAAAGATGCTCGGGGTGCGCACTCTGCATGCATGAAGAGACAGACAGAGACAGAGACACATGTGCTCCCAGCCTCTCACTTGCTGCATGAGGCCAGCTACTAATCTGCAACATATTTCAGGCAAAACCGCCCATCTCCACAGCGCCTCGAGGTCCAGCTAGCGTCCATGTGAGCTGCGCTTTCACGAGCTCGCACTCCACTCTGCCACTTATTCGAGGCCAAACATTCCCATCCCTTTGCATCAGACTGGTCTCCAAATGATTGTGGCCCAGGCCTGGAATCAGAATGTGGGCTAATCTGCGCTATTAACCTTGCGAACAATTAGTGATAAGTCAGCTTAAAATATCAGCTCCATCTCAGACATAATCTCCTGTGCATATGAGCCACAGAAACTGCAGGTTATTTTTTTATTTCAGGGACGGTCTCTACAAAAATGGCCTATTACAAGACTCCCTCTGAAATTGAGGGAACTCCATTCGATGCACTAGTACATATTTTGATTTACTTCTTATCATGTGCCTAGCGCCCTGTGTTCAAATTGTCTGATTTGATGGGGGTATTCCCACATTTTTCTACGTCATCAAGTTGACTCTAAATAATCAAATTCATTATGAAGAAACTATTCCCAAATTGCAATAGAGGACTGTTAATGGTTCGTGGAGGTGAAAAAATCATCGGCTTCCGGCTGATATAACCCAGAAACGGCCTCGGTGTTAGAGAATTGCGAGAAAGTTCTGAAACTGAAAAATATGGTCAATTTTTTGTCCTTTGTCATTAGATCTGGAGATTCCTAATAGCAACTTAATTATGCTGTATTAAACCTGTCAGTTATTCATTCAGTACAATATTTTCCATGAAGTGTCAATCATCAATTTATCTTGGGTTTTGTGGGAAAAAATTCCTTTTTCATTTCAGAATCTCCAACTCTTTTTGTGAGTGTCCTCAAGATTACTATCAAAGGTTAGTCATAATTGAATTCCCAAAGGAAGTTCTGTATCCTGGATTGAGACCATGTGGTCTACAAGTCATCCATCCTTAGAGCTCCAGATAGCAAGGAAACCCTTAGAACGTCACACACGAACGTGTCATGCTAGAGAAACGAATGAGCCAAATGGGAACGACTGTAAATTAATCCCCTTGGCGATTCGAAGAGAAGTAAGCTCTAAGGAAGTCCTGTCACCGGCTGCTGTGGTTACCGATTTCTTATGTACCGGCAGCAGCAGAAGACCGCGTCGCGAACACGGACCTTCCAAACGGGGACCGAAGGTCGTGCCTTGGCTGAGGAACGCGTTCACGACTGTGTGCGTTTTGTGGGACCGTCCCGAGGGTACGGGCCTGCCTGCCACCGACACGGTTGGAGGGTTCTACGGCTGCAGTCTACCTCCGGTTCTCATGGCGACAAGGACCGGGACTCGGGGCGGTTCATGGCTACCTCTAGCCCGCAGGTCGTCGTTGGTGTTCCACAGCGCCATCATTCTGTTTCAAAGGGCGTGTACCGCCAGGTCCCGCATCCTGGGAAATGAGCTTCGAGAGCTTTGGTAAAACTACTATTTCATGTTACAATGTATATCTTTTACTCGGTGTGAAGACAGACCAGGCAATCTTTGTCCACACTTGTTAATATGCGTGAGAATGGGACACGTATGTATGAAAAACGATGGTACGACCCATCAATCCCTATAATGAATAAAAAAAGTAACTCATCGTGACCTTGTTGGCCCTGATTTTGCCATAATGAAAATAATTTACTCGTCTAATATGGCATGCATGCTGTCTCTCTCTCAACATGATATTTTTCTTGTGTATGATATAAGTTACTTTTCACCATAAAAAATAAACATCAGAGTTATAATTGAATACACAATATCTTAGAGAAATTAATATTTGTTTGTAATAGTATGATAATTTCTCCCATAATCTCTCATGTGACATGTACCCATCCGTATAAATAATTCCATTTAATATTATATACTATCAATTGAAAAATCTACATAAGTGTTATCATTAACGTTCGAAGTAAAGTAGCAATACACCTTTGGCACAGTTAAAAGGTGAATTGCTCAGATTTTATTCCTGGGAGGAAGAAAGAGACATTTGCACTGGAGGGAATGTACTGGTGAAATTCATGGTGTCTTTCACATGGCACTTTATCTCTGAATGCTCAAGGGGCAATCGCAATATGGGCTATGCTCGATGGACGATCTATGACTACGTACATTCCTGCTGGTCAGTTCGTTCGTATTTGTTCACGAGCTTTGCATCTCTCCACAAGTGCCCCTCGGATTCTCAGGCAGACTGTGGACAGTTTGGAGCCTTTGAATTTGACACGAAGTCGACTTGTCTGAACGATGGAACGGCGATAGACTGTTTCGTTCCATGAAACGACTATTGCTGTGCCTGAGCCACCAGTTCTGAATAAAGTAGTCTTACATATGATCCTCGGGCCCATCTTTAAGACCTTTATACATGTGGACTGCAATCAACTTCCAAACACACACAAATTGGACGGCTCTTTGTAGTCCTCACCTGGTTGCCTTGAGCTTCGATCACACTGAATATTCCCCAAAGGAATCGCGCATTCCATGCCCCGCAACTTATCCTTTTCGTGTGCAACTACCTCAACGAACATCATCATCAATCGTGATCGAGTCGTTTGCCCTGGATTTTGATTTCACTTTATGGAATAGCAGCGCATAGTCTTCACCCTGGGACCTTACCTCCGATGTATGGTAGAGGATAGTCAACAACCTGAATTCCACAAAATAGTTTCTTCAGGCCTTGATCCTCATTTTAGCCCCATCTGCACAATCGAGATCCTGCATGAACCAGTGAATTCTGATCCACCAACTGGTGATGAGACTGCCTGATGTACCCGCGAGGATGGAATGTTGCTACATGTAAGATATCTCCATCACATTCATGCTCCATGGTGTCATCGTCGATGAATGTCCAACTCTCCAAATCTGCACATAGACTTGCTTGTTGGTGACCAAGACAGTGATTTTAGGAGGACCTGGTTTCTTCTGGCCGCGGGAAGGACTCCATACCCATCGAAAGGAAAGGGAAGCTCTGGAAGCACAGAAGTCACCAGCTCCTCTGCCTCATTCGCAGGCCATCAATGAATCCAGTCCATCCTTTCTGTTGTTTAAAGTAAGAAGACCCCACGAGATCGGTCATGCATGAAACCAAAGGGTAATATTGAGCTAGGCCCCAATTGCATCGCCATGGGAAATATGTCATGCTGACTGGGGAGACCACTTGCGGATCGGCCTTGGATTTAAGCAAGAGGACAAACCTTCGTTCGCTCGCTCGCTCGTCATGCACACTGTTTTCATGAGGCAAGCGTCTCACAGCGTTCACAATCGCCCCTCCGTGCACCAGTTTGGACGCTTAGTGTCGAGTTCGAACCACACTCAGAGGTCGGGCCCATCATCAGCAGAAGAACACCACACCGAAAGCGTACCGGGTAAACCCTTCAGTCGCGTACTGGGTTTGTTCTTCATGTGAAAGCGCCAAAGAGGTTCTGAACTCGGTCAACGATCCGGTAGCACCGTCCAAACCGAACCAGGTCAGGTGCGGGAGGGAGGGGGGATTCTTCACTTCACCGTATGGGTCTGCCTCTTCGCCACGTGTCCAATTATGGTGGTCATTGGCCGGGGAGGAATCTACGTGGCATTATAGTCGTGCCTAATAACACAAGGAAAGAACAGATATTTGTCCCCGTACAGCATGTTATGGAGCAGCTAGACATTCCAACATCAACTTTAGAGGAGAAAATTGGGGAGCAGGCTGCCAGGTGTGTACTGCCAGGTTGTGTTGTAAGCCAATCCTGATCGGGATTATGAAGAAGCCATTGAAATCAGCACAGACATGTAATATCGAAGATTGTTGTCATCTCCTTCTGTTTGTGATTCATGCTCGGGATTCGAGAAAGATAATCTCCTGCTAGCAACTTTCGTGAGTGCCGCCATTGGTAGAGGACGGAAGAATGAAGGAGTGATTGTGCTGTGGTGGTCCAAACCTTCGCAGCGGCACGTGTTCGGTAGTCCATGCAGTGAAGACTGGTCTGCATAAAACATAAATTTAGGTTAAGACATGTGAAATCCACATGATAGACACATGAACAGAACGCCTCCCATTCAACCACCGATGTGAATAACATGGGTCAGTTTTATGAGCCGGACGAGGATTCGGAGACAGAAAATATACACTTCTTACCGACATTAGTGTTTCTACTACACCTAGCTACAACAAGTAAGTTCTGATATCTTAGTTGAAACATATTCTTGAAGAGGACATCCTTTTATTTATTGCTTTTGCAATAAAGGATGATCATCTTTTAGAAATCTTTTCCATGGATTATAAGTTTGATTTGATTTTAGTTGACTGCAAGACATATTAACTCTTTGTCCGAATAAACTGTCAATTGTCAAGTGCCATTGTAAAACCAGATCCTTCAGTGATCCTGGACTTTTTGTGCTTCAAATGGTCAATAAGTCATACATAAGGCTTTGATATTATACCACATTCATATGTGGTTGAAAAAAAAGTAAATGGATAGATCAAACCAAGACCAAATCTCATCAATAATTGAAGTAGCTATTGCAAGTAGAAAATATTGATGCATGATGAAATCATGATCCACGAGTATGCACAATGCTTGAGTCTCATCAGTACAAAATTGTAAAGCATTCATTTAAAGTATACAAATCCATTAGAGCATATTGAACTCCCAGTCTATCGAGATATAGTGTTGACTTTAGTGCATTCAATATGAAAGAAAAAAAATTCTCAAACTCATGAAGTTCCCATAGGGAGAGATGATCTCTGACATGTTCTCATGTCATTTAAATTCTTTTCAAAGATGATTCCATATGCAATCGCGTATTGAATTGATAAAAAAAGTGACAAGAGTGCCCAACTTCCTAAGATTGCAAATGTCATGTGAAGAGATTGAGAAAGTTGTATATCTCAATGCCAAATCTTGCTTTACATTCTAAAATCTGTAGTCGAGTGGTGCCAATGATCCCTCAAGTTGTACGAATAGAACCAATGGGGTAAAAGAAAAAGATTGAAGCAAAGAGATCCAATGCATTAATCAACATGAAGAGAAATGACTCAAAGTCTTTTGAAGAAATAAAATAACCTATATTTCTCTTTAGCATTTTGGAGGGAGCCAATCGACACAGGAAAAAAATGGAAGAATGTTTAGGGCTTAACCAAACTCCAACTGGAACTCAGATTGAAACTCCAATTCAATGCTCTGCAGACTATAACCATACAAAAAGCGAGAACCTCATCCCAGCCTCTTACAGTACTCTAATACCTCTACCTCCCTTCTTGTCCAATCACCACGACACCACTCTATGGTCACCACGACACCACTCTATAAAATCTACAGAAATCAATGTGCAGAACAGTATCAAACCAGGAAACATGAGCTGAATCAGAATAAACGATCGGTCGGAATCTGCCCCAGAGAAAACAAAGAACCAACCGGAGGCCCCGTCCCGTGGGTGATCATGATGCCATGAGCTCGATGATGCGAAGGGCTCGAGCCCTCCGAGGGCCATCGGTGGGACCCACCACCTCCAGCACTTTCCAGCGCCGGTACACGGCTACAGGAGGGCTCGCGAGCAGCACCCGCGCTCCTGACAGGTACTGGTACCTCGAAGTACAGTTCCCAGATCCGTGCTGGGCACGGGGGCCCAGTTCCACAGTCCCACAGCGGGTCATGCAAAGAAAACGAACGCAAGGCGTCCTCCAACAGGAGACCGTTGGGCCTAGGTAACAAGTCACTCAAGTGGGAGCGTAGAGGACAAGTAAGCCAACGGAGAACGGGGGAACGGGAGCCGGGGCCGGGGCCGGGCTCGGGCATGAGACGAATTCAAAATCTTGTTACTGGGCAGTGAAAGAAGGTCGCTCCTGTGGTCGTGTGAGAATCTTCGAGAGGACCTGGCGTCGTTGATGCGAGAAATCGGACGGGTTGGTGTACAGATTCCTCCGCCAGGCAACTGGTTCCTTACCGCGAGTGAAAAGTCATTCGTTGTTGCTGTCACTGAGGTCTGTCGGGCCGGGTCCTCGATCGGATCTGAGATGCATAACTGAAATAGGGATTCCTCCGGCCCGTGGCCGTCGATCGCCCAATCCTACGACTCAGAGCAACCACGTTAGAGAATTTCCACGACTCTGGACGCATTCCGTTATTATTCCGTTTAGGTGAATAAGCCAGCTCGGGTGAAAAAACATGGAAACGAACGACGTGAAAGTCCGGATCATTGAAGGAACATGAGCCGTCAATTATCGAATCGAGGATCGACGGCTTATGTTCCGCAAAGTGGTCATTCCGAAGCTCAGCGAGTCGCTTTTACGCCTGGACGTGCTCCGGGAGGAAAAGGTCGACTGCCGAACGAGAGGTCAACAAATCTCGCGTCGAACTGCAGGTCAGAGAAAAGCGAAGGAGGAGGACGAAATTTCGGGGGGAGGGCCCGGTCACAGGGAGAAGACAGGGCCGCCCGACGAAGCGAGGGAAGGGAAAAGATTCAGGATCCAGAGAGGTCGGAATCGTCTCCAGGAGCGCCAGATCACGGGCCCCGCAGGACCGGGGACGGGCGCCAGAACAGTCGAAGGAGCGTGTCGGCGACCGGGAGGGAGCGGTGGGCCCCGGAGGGAAAGGGACGGGAAGGGAGGGAGAGGAGAGGAGAGGAGACCTAACTGCTGCAAGGGGCGTGCGGACGGGGCGGCAGGACTGGAGTCGTCGGCTGGAGTTGGCGGAGAAGGCGGCCAGGGTCGGAGGCGCGGGCGAGAGGCGAGGGCGCCTGTATTTTCGGGGCTGCCCCGTGTACGCGCGGGGCCGGGCCGGGCCGGGCCGGGTCGCGACCCGGACTGCGGCAGGAGAGCGAGAGGCAGCGAGCGGAATCAGGAGGGAGGAATGGAGCGAGAGATGGTGGCCCGTCTGCAGGCTCGATCGATCGATCGATCGAAGGATCGAGCGAGAGATTGGCGTGGCGGCAGAAAGGCAGGCAGCAGGGCCGATGGGGAGGTAGTCGAGACAGTCTTTCATTGAACAGGGAGGCGAAACAGAGACGGAGGAAAACAGACAAAGAAGGCGAGAGAAGGAGAGAGAGAGACCTGCCAAGGGAGGGAGAGAGGAGGAGGAGGAGAAGGATGGGGAGCGATCGGCATCATGTGCGTGGGCTGCCGTGAGGGAGGCTGAGAGGCAGCATCCATCGCGAGATTGTCTGTCGGGGTGCGCGAGAGGCCGGAGAGCGGAGTGACGGAGCTTTGCAAGCGAGGCACCTGTCGGCGGGTTGTGAGATCGGGCTCGGCCCTTAGGCGAGCGGTATCGAGCATCGACATTGAGTGCTCGCGTCTTTGGCTTAGAGAGGACACTTCGCCCTTTCCTTGTCCTCGGCGACTGTCGTCCGTGTTGGACATTTGATAGCACCACCATCCCGCACCCCTGATGCCATGTCGAATCCGACGCGCTTCTCGGTTTTTGTCGTAGCCGACTGAGTGATTCGAGAAAAAATAGAGATTTTTTTGGGGATTTTTTTCTAGCGTTTCTTTCTTGAGTGTGTGTCGAGGATTTGGGACCAGCGGTTGTTCTCGCGAACAAAGAGAGAGTTAGAGAGAAAGAGAGAGAGATCGGTTACGCAATCTTGGGGCGAGGTGGCCGAGGGACTAGGTAAATTGCCAGCCCGGGGTGCAGAAATCGGAGAGATGTCTGTTTTTATAACCCCGGCATTGGACAGGCTCATCGAGTCTGATCACAGGTCTTCTTCGTCCTCGCAAACGAGTCCCTCCATGGAGAAGCAGAATTTCAGCACGACGCACGCCGAGAGGAGACCTCTTTATGTCTCGTATCCTTATTCTTCCACCACGTCCACTCCCCTATCTCCGCGGCCTCGTTCGCCGTCCCCGACGGACTTTTCCCCTTCTCCTTACGTTGTCAACCACAAAAGGCGCGTGCCTAACGGTTTGGACACAAAACGAGCATCGCAGCAAAATGGATTCCATGTTTCGGAAAAGATCTCTGCAAGCCGGCCGACGGAATCTCAGGAGCTGGTGCTGAGGTCTGGCAAGGAAAACGTTTTATTAGTTAGTCGATCTTTGAACGGGCTGGGAGCCAAGCAGGGACAGGAGGCCCAGTTGCCTCAGGGTAGTCTGACCCGGGAGTTACAGAACAAAAATATGGGTGGAGAACGAGAAGACAATTCTGCTACTAAGAAAAAAAGTTTTGACGATAGCTTTCGCCAGAGTAGATTGACCCCCACTGAAGAGAAGCCGAAAGGAAAGCGAGTGGGCTGGGAGAAGAAAGACATGAGTTCCAGAGTAGATGATCTACGCGGGAAGCAGAAATTGGACGAAAGGTTGGAAGAGGGCACGTCCGCTCAGGAACGGGCCAAGATCGATTGGGGCAATGCGAGTACTAGTGCCAGATCTCCACAAGTCCCGGTTAGCGATACCAGCTCTATTTCCACGGAAGAGTGGTATGATGCTCCGGATGCTCCTCTTTCTGGTAAATTTCGAGCTCCTTTTAGCCCTCGCGATTGCATTTGTGACTGCTGCCAAACTTCCTACGAGATCCGTGTTATGTGTGGGGATGGTGGTCTTGACATGAATCTGTTGTGGGTCACGATCATATTTGAAACCAAAACCTTTTGGTTTGGACATTGCAACCCTTGAGAATTTCCGCCTGAGAGGCTTCTTTGGTTTCGTGTGCACGACCGTCGTTTCAAAACGTGTAGATTTCTGTCTGAATGTGTACTTAATTTTATAGCAATGAACCTTCCAAGTCCCCGATCTGTTTCCTGTTGACCACTAAAGCTGTTGGAAGTACGAGTGGTTATGAGCTTTGTGTGTTTTTACGGTATGTCCTGTCAAAGGACGATCCACGATTTTTCTTGTAGACTTTTACTCACGAATTGGACCAACCAACGGGTAAAGAGGTCCTAGCGGTGTCCTCTGTCAAGTTTTGGGCGAGAAGAATTCGTCTGGTTTGTACTGCACTGATGAAGTGATTGTCATCGTCTGAGCCCTCAAAATGTTGTTCCTGACCTTGACAAGGAACTTAAGCTCAAACTGCGAGGCTCTGCTTCGAGCAGTTTCAACCCCGAAAATGGGTGCATATCACGGTTCGTGTCGCATTAGTCGCTGAGCAGATCATCTTCATGTCTTCCTCTTCATATTTCTCTCTTCAGTGGGGCCGCACCCGTCCTCCATCCTGCGACTCGTATGCACGCAGCTTGTTAATATGGTTGGTCTTTGAAATGCCTGCGCGTACTTCTGCCCGATGATCGAGGGATTCTTACTGTGCATTGCAATACTTTCCAAGTCGTGGACGTGATACGTGGAAGGTGATGGAAATCATGGTGCTACCTTCGTCACAAAAGAATTCTGTTGACAACCACTCTGTTCATTCTCATCTTGTGTCGGGATAGTTTCCTGCCTCCAAACAAATTATTTCTGCCTTTTTATTGTGATTCCAAAGCTTCTATGACGATGTCCTGTTCTCAAGTGCTTGCTTCCTCTTCCTTATCGTGATGCAGAAGAGTCAAGTGATGATGAAGCATTCCGGAACACGCCAAGTAAACCTGGACCAAGTTCGAGAGGTGACCCGGATCCGAACATTGCTTCGCAGTTGAAGGAGGAGATCAAGAGGCGCATGAGAGCGGAGGAAGCTTTAGAAGCCTTGCAGCAACAACGAGATGGTATGGCACAAATGCTTTCCACGGCAGGGATTTCTCTTCCACATTCAGATGCTACAAAATTAAGAGAATATGAGGTGGAGATGGGAATCTCGGTTAGTGAGACCCAAAGGTTAACGGTGGCTAGAATGATAGCCGGTGCGGTAGCAAGGGGAGCAGTGAGGGCAGAGGCTGAGGCAGAGCTGCAAACTGTCCTTGCAGAGAAAAGCAAGGAAATTGCAAGACTACGAGATAAGCTGCAGTATTATGAGACCGTGAACCATGAGATGTCACAGAGGAACCAAGAAGCAATCGGTGAGATTTCTGTCTGATTTCCTCCATTGCGTGTTAACAGACATTCCCATTTCCCTTTGCTGGCGAGTCGTTCTTCGCGTCTTCTTTCCTCTCCTGATTCAAAGCCGTAACTCTGGGCATTCTCGATATCATCCATTAACAAATTCCGTCCTCCTACAGAGATAGCACGACAAACCAGACGAAGGAGGCAACGGAGACAGCGATTTGCAATGATGGGATTGAGTGCAGCCATATGCTTCGGTGTTTCTGCTGCAGTCGTCTACCGCTACGTCCCTTGGGGGGAGATCAAGAACCTGAGCAAAGGATCTGCGTTCTCAACTGGAGATCACATCTATTCTGAATCTGGCGAGAAGGTTGTCGACTTCAGAGAGCCTGTAACTGATGGTTCCTACGATTAATCTTCGTACTGAGAAAATGATCTGCTATTATGTATCTGAAACATTTTTCTATCGGGGTCCTTTTGTTACTAGGCTGCCAAAAATTTTGCATGAGGAAATCAAAGTACAGTTGAGAACATTATCGATGATGGTAGATGGGTTCTCCGGCCAATAAGGAGAACCCCAGTGTACATGAGGGAAGACTTGCCCTCCTTATATCATACATAGAGTACTGTAGTACTAGTAGATACGAGTGGGGCTAAATGAAGCCCTTTCTTAGCCAGTTCTTTAATTTATTTTTTTCCCTTATGCCCCTTGGCAAGAGTTGAGACTCCCTAGGTGGGTCGTGTTATTGCTCATAACCTGCAAGCTAGGATCCTGATTTTAGGCCACAATGTCCATTAAATACGTAGTAGTAGTTAGTTGAGGAATTTTGAAGTTTCTGTCTCCTGAGCGGGCAGCAATGACTCTAGGCTTCCGACCATTGAAGTGAGAATATTCATGATGAGCGATGAGTTGAAGCTACAAAACATAATAAAAGTACCATCTTTGCGATCGTCTTCCCTTATTAGCAACTGTGTCTCATTCCTCAGTAAACGTATAACTGGCCACATTTCCGAAATTTTAAAGTTTGCCTTACTATTTCGAGCTGGCCCTGTCACTTTGTGACCAGAGAAACTTCCGATGTGAGCTGCGGAAGATTGTGGAAAAGGCTAGTGCTTACTTGCAATGTGGACACTCTGTTCACGGAGAGGGTGTCACTGCTGTGGAGGACCGTGGCGAAACCCGGACTGATGCAAAGGTGGATCCGCAGCAAGGTTAAATGTCTTCACGCAGCTTTTTCCGGAGAAACCCCAGGCCAACCAGCAAAACTTATGATGGGGAGGAGTGGGGTTTCTCTCCACGCGCTGGTGCAGAGAAGTCAGTTCTACGGGGTAACTGACTTGCGAAGACAATAAGTTTGTCCACCATGGAAAGTTTCCTGTAATATATTGGTAGGTTAGTTTAGTTTTGACCAGATTGGGAACAGTAATGTGGTTGTGCCTGAGGTCGAACGTCTCCATTTTCTTCACGTTACAGTAATTGACGATTTCCCAGTGTTTGTGGATCCAGAAGACTACATGCTAGACTACATGTAGAAGCTAGCTGGATTTGTGCCACCGTGTCTGATTTCTCTACTGGCAGGATGTGACGACATCCGTGGACTTTTCTTGCGTACAGAACATGTTTCACATCACAGGAATGTTAAGACTGTCGAAACACGAGAGACAAATGTGCGAGAATCATCCCGCTTGTAACGATTCGCAGCTCACCTTCATGGTTATTGCTCAACTCTGCTCTTTACAGTTGCCTATGGCTCACCTTCGGATGAGTCCTTGAATATACCTGATTTATACTTCCAGCATGGAGTATTTGTTGATATCTGTTCGTACCATCTGATCACTTCAAAGACGGCCTCTTTTTATGGCCAAGCATCGGCGATTTTACCCCGAAACGCCTTCCTTGTCCTTCAAGGATTTCCTTCCTTCCACCAGAATGAATGACGGAATGTGGGTCATTTTTGTGCCGCACACGCACAGGTGAATGTCTTTAGACGGGACAGATAGCGTTGAGGAGTACATGGGCTAACATGAGGTCCACAAAGTAGTGGTGAGGCTGGCCGAACCACGGCCATTTATTGACATTTGGAGCTCTTCCATAGTGACCACCATCGCTGTAGTTGTTGTCGAAGTGGAAAGGGAAAGTCATGTCAAACGCATCCACAATTTGAGTCGAGGGCATGGCTGCCTGGAGTCTCTCCACCAGTACCTTGTTGAAGATCTCCATTTTGTGAGGATTAGACTGCATGCCCCTCGACTCGCCCGCAGGTGCCACTGTCGTTCTGTAAATGAGGTTACTTCTCTTCGTTTGAGGAATGTCCAGGACCATCTGCCAGAAGGAGATTGCCCGATCCACCGCCCCCACAAAGTCCCCGACGGTTCTGAAGTGATTGCCGTCATGGAGGCCTGAGTTCATGATCACAGTGTCTGGAGTGGCTCCCTCGCCCGTGAAATGCCGGATGATCCACTCCCTGTAGTCAGGATTCTGCAGGGAGTCGAGGCCGAGGTCACCGTCGTACACATTGTAGTGGCCATTGAATATCATGCTGATGTGAAGAGCTTGGTCAGGTCTGCCGGGGTTCACGAACCATTCCTCGAACTGTCTCGGCAGCTGGAAGTCCGGCAAGGTGCTCCAGTAGGGGACGGGCACTCCGAGCACGAAGAGCATCAGGTTGCGGATGGTGTCTTGGAAATTGGAGTCGCCCCAGAAGAGCAACCACTTGCCGCTCACGCAGTCCCACGCTTCCTGCGTTTCGAAGATGCGGAAGCCACAGTGCGCAGAGTAGACCCACGAGTTGCTCTCCAGCCTCGACACCCTCCCGGAGCACCGAGGCTCCGTGCACGCGTCGTGGTCCCGAGGGACGCAGGAAGCAAATCTGCCCTGCCCGTCGGCCGAGCACGAATCGTTGATCCATCCTCTCGTCCACCTTCCTCGCCATTCCTTTCGAGAAAAGCTTCCAGGCTCGGATCTGCAGCTTCCCATTCCTCGTGAAATTCTGTCACTCGGACTCTTCTCGCCCCGAGCTTCGTCGTAGAACAAGATCTTCACACGGGGGCTTTGTATCCTCACGTCCCATTCGCGCTCCATCAGCTCCAGGCCATGGAAGCAATCGAAGAGGAGGGTGGCGGAGAAGCTGAACAGCCCTTGGAATGCCGAGTCGACCATGAGCGTCACTCCGTAGGATCCATTGCCGAAATCTTGAACCGGAGGCCGAGACTTCCACGATTGGCTCTGCAGCTCCGTCTCGTAAAAGTCGCCTCCCGCGCACCTCCTCCTTCCCTCCGCATTGTAAGATGTCAGCAGCAATCTGTGCAATGTGTTCGTGGACAAGCGCAAAGGCGTCTCATCTAAAGGAAACTCCAGGCCGGAGAACAAAGTGTGGTTCGTGTGCTCGTCATGGCAAGCCCTTGTGCCATTCTCGCTCAGGCGAGCGAGAATCGACTCCGTTTCGGATTCGCTCGTGGGCTGTGCTCGGTCGGGGGAAGGGATCGACCCGTGACCGAACTCCTGCTGCCGTGAGCTCGGCCACACCCTCCACTGCATCAGCAGCAACCCGCACACGAACACGACCAGCAACGCCGCAGTGCCAGCCGCCACTGACTCGTCTTTGGACCTTGACCTGCCTCCCTTCGCCTCGTCCCGCGAGTGCGAGGCCCTGTCGGACGCCTCGTGCTGAGATTTTGCCGCAGTCGGATCCTCCATCTCGATCCGGATGCGTTCACGAAGATCCAGGGCAGCGACTGCACACTTAACTGCGATGGAGACGGGCATCTGTCTGCGTCGGATTCATCCTCGATGTTTTTTCCGACTCGCAACGCAATTTTCGAGCTCAATTTGTCTGAGGGACGAATTCTGGATCTTGCGATAGTGGACATGAGATAATCTTCCGCCCGTGTTCAGCTTGTAGCCGACCTCGTGCTCGAAGGCCTGCTGCCGGCCTGCCTACCTTCAGTGCATGAACCCCATGGCCGTGAGCTGCTCGAAACCATCTTGCCGCTCCCTCAAGACTGACTTGAGTAGACGGATGGCGAATCTTGGAACTGCCCTCAGATTCAACGAGAAAGCAGTTTCGCAAATTGAACTCGCGCATCGAAGCTCTGATCAAGAAAAGCCGCTCTTCCCTTGGTCCGAACTCCATTCTAGCGGGTCTTGGTGGCGTCGGATTCACTTCGTTTCTGAATCATCGTTTGGACATGGTTCTTCTCCAGCTGAGCTGATCTCTTCGTGCCGCTCGATCCTTCGCTCTACTTCGTGGGTATCTCGGTAGAAAGTTCGATATCTCGATAAGCAGTCACACTCTCGCCCAGCTGCTTCGACTACTGCCGAAATTTGAACTACTGCCTGAACTCGGAGAATTTGTGGAAGGAGTGAGGAGGGATTATTGCGGGCCTTTGTGGATCGAGGGTTAGCCTCGTCTGCTCGTCCAGGGCGCCGAGCTCCGGTGGAGCGAAGCATCGTTCATGATTGTTGCGGTTCAGGTGTAAGAAGCTTCGATCTCTCCAGGCTCACTAGATCGTGATTTGTTTGCAGACAAGTTGTTCTCAGAGACCACAAGAGCTTCCTCTCCGCCTGGCCCTGAGGGTGGAAACATTCCTGACGCTCAAACTGGTTCTAGCTGCACGGATTGACGCTTTGGTGGTGGCGAGTCTAATGGCTGATTAAAATCTTGCACTGCGTCACTGTATTCTTATTACGTGGATGTGTGACGACAATGTACACCGTCGAGTGGTAGGACTATTCTGAATCGAAACTACACGATCAACACGTTTTTTTACCGGAGGTTTGACATCTCCATGAAGGCTCGACACGGGGAGATTCTGAAAAATTGCGTAGAAGATCATACACTCATGGCAACGAGGTTCACATTGCTCAAGAATGATGACGGTGGGATCTATCGTGTCGATCGAGTCCCTGAATCTCTGGACCTGCCTTGCCTTGGGCCCTTGGGCACGGTTTTCTTGAAGATGTCGTCCTGTAAAGGACTTCGATGTGGGATTTCTGATCAGCATTAGGCGGACGGTGGTTTCGGTGATTCGCTGCTCTAACAGCTGGTGGCCTTTTAGACTTCTCGGGTAGAGAGATGGTGTCACAGAGACTGCCATCCACTGCGCATTTCCAATGCGGCAATTTTGCTAACAGTTGCCAGACATTCGTAGCTCGTAAGTAATGACACTTCCCTTACACGCAGCGAAGTAGATTCTGTTCAAAACTCGTCTCGATGTTCGTAATTATCAGGTAGAAAACGTTTTGAGGATCTGGTAAGCGGAGCGATGGCTTCATCCACAGATCCGAGATCAAAAGCTCTACCGAGGTAAGAGATTTCCAGCACATGCCATCGGTCCTTCTTTCAGTTGGTTAGAACTGGATACTACACAGATAATAATCGTTCATTGTGTATATGATTAGTGTCAGATCCCTCAAAAGTAAGGAGCTCTCGATGCTCCCTAATGTTCGATCAATTCATTGCTCCAAGAGGTGGAGTGGCGAATTGCTATCCTGGAGTTGGAACAACTACTGCAGGAGAAATCGACATCTCCTTTATACACTTCTCCTGCATCCCACATCTCCAACACAGTCCACGATTGGCAACAACTTCCACCTACTGCAACAGCCAATTCGGCAAAAACAAACACCCACGAGCTTCTGACATGATCTCCACCAACCTCATCCCGAAACTAATCCTCTCCAATCCCCTCGACTCGACTCACTCGATGACTAATTAAAGATCTCAAACTCCCTACAACTCGCCGCCTCAATCTCTGAAGGCCCGATCCGCGACCAAAATGAGAATGCAGCAGTTTAATCGCCAGGAAATGAGCTCCCCCCTGCACTCATGCTCCTCCACCTCCATCGCCGCGTGAGCTCTCGATAGACGACGACCCCCAAAAGCAAAATGCTCCTCCAAGTGAATCCTCGGCACGCCACCAAACCACGACAATAGCTCGCCGGGAAGGACAAACGCCATCTACTTCCCGGCCCGGAAAAGAGCACCAACCAGGTACTTGTTCTCGGCGCACTTCGGGACGTCGTACAGGTGGACTAAAAATAGCCGATATCCAAATCGACGACTGGGAACTTAGGAGTTGCTGAGCGCCTGGTGTCCGGAGCCGTCGATCGGTTGCTAGATTTAGCTGATTCGGGACAGCGCCGCCAAGTGGGATGGGCGGCAGTTCAGCGGATGGGGATGGACCGTGCTTGCTTGTCTGGCACTGGCTGCGTGGCAGGAATCTTCGGATTCTCCACCGCTCCCGCTGCTGCAGCCGCGGCTGCCTCGTTCTACGCAATTGCCTTCGACTCGAGGATCGGCCCTCATTCGCGGTCGATGTCGCAGTCGCGGTCGTGGTCGTGGTGGCGTCGTCCACCTGCTACGATGGCTGACCGATGGAGCCACCGAGCGATGGAGTGAGAGACTGTCTTCTTGATCGTCTCGTGCCTCGGTTGAATTTTGCGATGGGGCTGTGAGGCGGAGGAGGTCGGAGATTCAGCAGTGGCGGGCCGGATTGATGGTTGTGCGGGTGAGGATTGTGTCGTAGGGTCGTTTTTCTTTCAATCTGTGAATTTTGGTGGGAGGAAAGCGGACTAAATGGCCGAGAAGCACCGGAAGAGAGCCTTCCTGGAGCATTTGGAGGCGTATTTGGCCAGGCGAGATGGCGTCGATAAGGCTCTGAAGATTTTGCGATACTCCAGCAAATTGTGGCTCTCCAGTCCTCTGATTTCCTATGCCGATCCCCTGGTCGTGAAGCGGGTGAAGGATTTTGAGTCCAGCGTTGGAACTAGTCGAAAAGCCTTCCGCCTCGGCAAGTTCGTGCAGGATGTGAACGCTTTGGGCAAAATCCCCTCCTACGCTTCCAGAGATGGCCTGCTGGAATTTATTGCGTGCACCGGCGAGGGAATTTACTACTTTGTGGAGCAATTCATTTGGCTGGTATGTACTTCCAATTTATATTCAATTTTTTGCAAATACTCGCAAATTTTTGATGGCATATCATAGCGAGATTGTGGTCTTCTGTAGCTTTTTAAATTCAGCTTCGAGTGAAAGAGAGGGAATTTATTTTAAGGAATTGAGAACTTTGTTGTAACTTCCAAGCCGTGGGGTAGTCCGCTTCAAATTACCGTTGTTGCTTAGGGTACTGACGGCAGCTCATCGCGAGTGCCAGCGGTTTTGTTTATTTCTGATGACACCTGCTAAATTAGTTTCCGCTGCATAGTTAGATTAGTTAGATTAGTGCTCGTCTTTCACCGGAGCAGATCTCTTTTCCCGAGGTGACATAATTGGATGGGAATCGCTGCCAATGGAAGTAAAAACGACGTTGATTCGTAGACTAGATCTACCTCAAAGATAGAAACTATTGGAAGTTACCTGGAATTTATAGTAACGTTTGCTTCCATCAGCCCGTATTTTGGATGTCACGTGTTCGATAACGTAACATCTAGTACAAAGTTCGATACTGGAGGAACTCCTCCAGTATCGAACTTTGCATGATTTATGTGGAAAGTCTGGCCTCCGTTTCAACCCCTGATTTAATTGCTCCTCTGCATAACTGGGTTACGCCTCAGATGGTTTATCTCGACTCAAAGGAATTCACTCTACCTTTCTGACTGAAAGGTAGAGTGAATTTAAATTGCGTGTTGTGCTGATCGCTTACGAAAGCTCATCATAAGTTGAAGCGGGTTTGTTTTTTTGGGATAACAGCTGCAAAACCAAGACTCGCTGGTTATTTAGATGCTCGTATATTTCATCAGGAAAATTTTCAAATACCCTGAGGATACGTAACACCATAATAGATGTGAATGGAGCACAACATTGATATCCGGACCGAATCGATTTGAAAGAAAGTGAAACACTTTCAGGATATACTTTTATTTTCGTTACTCTATGTACGAGATATTATGTGCTCTTTCAAGCTCCCACTTAGTAATCCTTTAGCACCCATTGTAGTCAGATGATACAGATAGCTCGGTGCCCCTCGCAGATGGCTTTGATCTAGACCAGAGCAGAAATTAACTGGAGCGTGTACCTAGTTGTGAGGGTGATATATTATAGATCGAATCTGGTATGTCGATGAATCTGCATTCCCCTCAACAACTGGAGAGGTTTTTCGGTTGACTCTCATCTTCCTTCGACAGTAATCATTTGGAGTTGTTAATGTATGTGCCGGGCCTCGCTTATTGGGAGCAGTGGGATTTACGAATATCTGGAAGCAAATCTGATTCTTGATTTGTCCAATTTGGATTTTATCCAGTTCGATCAGATCCAAGTTGGTGCAAATCTGTAAAGGAATGAGTATCAGTGAACTGCATATGGAAAAAATCTTAGGATCTTACGTCATCATGTTATAATCCTCGACGAAGAAGAAGCTGAAAAGAATCTCAGTAGGTCAGCTAGGTTGGTAGACTTATATCGAAGTTTTTTTTTTTTTTTTTGGGACCTTTTGAGTGACACTATTTAACGGGTGGGCTATTGGAATTATCGTCACTTCAGTGTCCCATCATTTGAAGCATACTAACCGTTTATAAAGTGCAAATATTGCATTCTACTTCCAGAGTTAATGGACGTTCCTTTAATCTGCCCTCTTTGAGATTCTTCATTAAAAAATAAAAATGAATGCCTTTTTCAAAGTGTTGAAGGCATCCGTAGACTGATGATACTAAGTTTTTTCTGGAATTGTTAGCTAAGTTATTCAAGGACTGAAAATGTCTGGTTGCTGAGTTGCTGAAAGGAAAGAGATCTGATCGTTAAAAATTCGTTGTTTGAGATCATTGCAGGTTAAAGCCGGTGCAATTGACAAACGCCATTCGAAGGAGCTACAAAAGTGGAGTGCCTGGTCGGAGTTCATTGGATACCTTGGAAGTGTTACGTTGAAATTTTTCCAAGTGTGGGCTATGCGTAGCAAAGAGGCCGCCCTCTTGAAAGGGTTGAATGCCTTGAATAAGGGCGAAGGTTTAGATGAGAAAGTAAGAATATCCAAGGAGCTGCGGATGGTGCGAGCCAAACGATCGATGAAAACTCTTTCCCTTGTACAGGACCTGTCTGACAGTTTGCTTGCTCTGAACGACATTAAGGACAATAAGGGTCCGTTGGCCAAACCTTTTCTTCTTGCCTTTTCTGGTCTACTTTCTGCTTTGATCAGCACCCACAAAAACTGGAATAGCTGCTGATGGAACGCCTTCTCTTCGGTCTGCGTTTCTCGAACACATTAACATGTTTTGTATCAATTTTAGGAACGACGATTGTCGCATTTGTTGAGCTTGCTTCTCGCGAGAAGGGAAGTCTCGGTGTCAACCCCATCTACAGGGGTCGGCATCACTAGATAAGCCTGGTCTTTGCTGCTCAGCCTTAAAGATGGAACCGAGTTACAAATCTACGCCGAGTTGGTGAGGAGTATGGCACGGATACATATGTGTCCAACAATTGTAAAGAATGATCACTTGAGAAACACAGTTATCAATGGGGCAGGTAAACCTGCCCCATATATATTCAACCTGCATTGTACATGATTCTGGTAATTTATTTGAACACTTACTCTGTTACGACCACGTGTTACAGTTGTGCTACGAGAGAAATGCCGTGTATGTATAATACTTGCGTTTGCTTGTTTCTCGAGCTCTCCTGTAAACATACCAATAGCTATCGTATGATTTGAAACTTTATTCTGTAGAGCATTCTCTAAAGTTCGATAATACAAGCAAGAAGCAGTGAATCTCAGTGCATAGCGTTCCTTCGTTTGGGAACCTTTCTGGGTTCGAGGTCCGTTTCTAGAGACTTTTAACACTCGCTGAAGAGCACTGTTCTCTTGATTTTCTTCATGCGATGAAACCTCGGAGGCGCTGTACAGATTGGGTTGTGGAAGACATCATTGACTCCTGACACTCATATCGATAACGGTTGATGCTTGATGTTCTTCTTGTTCCATCATATTATCTTTTGGTACGTAGTGCATAGCAGATTCTGGATTTGGAATTTGATCTTCTGCTTTACCCACTGTAAATATGATGTCGACTACATAGTGGTGCAGGTCGATTGTCGATAATTATCTCAGATACACTGGACTGTATATGCTAGACGGCAGTCTGTACTCTTGTAGATTCTGGAAATATGCCTCCAGCTTTTAGCTGATGTGCTAAGAGTGTCGGGTTGTATCTAGAGCAACTGCATTGTACGTGTCGTGTTTTTGGTTCTTCTGAAATTGTGCCTCCTCTAGATTCAAGTCGTCAATTCATGCTTCCTCTTCCGAGGTGATGAGCAATAGCGGTCACTCAGTTGGTTCTGCCCTTTCAGATTCCCACTGCGAGACGAGTGAACAAAGCTTATGATGTAGTTCGTTTCATTTCTAGAATACTGATGTTCTTAACTATGTTACAGTAGATGATGATCTTGGCTTCCATGTGTACCACAAACATTGCCTCATGTTCTTATTATTTACACTCTTGGATTAGCCATAGGTTGTCAGCGGTCCCCTACATGCTGAGGTGTGCTTCTAGCAACAATATTAACATAATAACTCTCTAGAACTCTTGTCACTGTCGAGAACAACTTACTCCTTGAATTAAATCTTGTAATGAAGTCTCTATCAACTCCTTTACGAGTATAATATTAGATTCAAGTAGATGTTTCAAAATTCCCATGTTAAAGCCTCATCGGATGATCAGTAAACCAGGTTAGACCTCTTGTACTTGATCTTAGGCATCGTAATCAAGTTCTCATTATGGTCTCAATAGCATACCACATGTCAATCCATCTCTGTAATACAAACAGTACAAGGATTTACTCTCTACCATCATCTTGAATGACCTTGTTTGCTGAAGATGTCATGTTATTATATCAGGTAATCCTCTCTAGCACGATCGTTTGCAACATACCATGGTGCAAACACAATGCGCTAAATCTACTCTCTTCTCAAGATTTCAAAATTACTACACTTTTCACTCTTTGCATACCTTCACATCTTCTTCAGATTATTAAATTCATTATAATCAAACTCATGGCGAGTTGCATACTTGGTCAAGATATGAGTTACCTTAACTTCCTTTTTTCTTTCCTTTGAAACTGTCATAGTATGTACTACATTCAATATGTGAGAATTTCTTTATCACTTCAACTATCTATGTATCTCCATACTTGAAGACCTTGGCTACTGAGAAAACATCTGTCAGCTATCCCAGAAAATATGTGATCATCTCCGCGGAACTCCGTTGCATGCAATATTTATAGCCACCAAATCTGCAACCAGCACTAGATGCTCACTAACCAAATATGGATAGACCCAAACTCTTGATGAATGCAGTGCGTATCAATGTGTTCTCCATATGAGGAATCTAGCTCACGCTCTATGAAAAGTATCATATCTTTAATTGTGGATGACTATTTTCGGTACTTCAAATCATGTGAGTCATTGCTCCATCAAAAGTATATTCACACGTACATGAATGTCGCTTCGTGAACCATGTACAAGCAGAACCTGTGACTGGATAAATCGGAAAAGTTTAATACGTTGTCAAGCCAAAATTCAGAATCATACATCTTTGCCCGATCAAGATTGTAAGCGGATTCTTGTAATACTAGGAAGTGCAAGATCCACTAAAGTGAATGTCTACTGAAATTGTATGAATTGTACTGAAAAATGAAATGTAAATATATATTACATTACGAGATTAGAAATCTTAGGCTGCACAAATAATATCTCTAAGTCAAACTTGGAATAGTTGCACTCATACGACTTCCTCTTGTTATTACAATCTGAACAATGAAAGCTGTAGCCATCGCCAATCGTGGCGGTCGCAGGTGTGAGGTAGTGGCTTGCATACAATCTATGAGCAATATCGTGTGACAGTGTATTGAAGCGAATTCTACCCTAATTTCTAAGCGTCTTGAGTGAGCATTCATTTGAGCATTTTGTCTCTTCTTAAGCCACTCATCTATATATCTCTTGAGTAGAAATAGCCATAGCTGCTTCTTTTGTCTTCTGTCGTCGAGCTTGTAGCGAATGTTATATATGTAATTTCAAGTCACTTGATATCCACGAAGAATTTTAAGTAAGTGCACGAGGTCAAGACTTCTCGCGTAGACTAATCAAGAGATGTGCAAGCCTGAAATGAGGATAAATCATTTTTTTCAACTCATTAATTTTTTTAAACTACTTAATCAAATTGGCCATTCAATTTATTCACGTCGCAATTATCTTCATTTCCAAGCTTCAAGAGAACTTTCACTCTAGAATCATCAATATGACTCTCAGGTCCATCCATTTGTCTTAAGCGTATGTAAAATTCGCCACCACATTCTCTTCTCCATTATCTAAAGTATTGTTTCAGAACCTCTAGATCATCATGGTCTAAAAAGCACTCATGTGGTTCTTTTTAAAATTTCAATTAGCAAGTGATTATTCTTTATAATTCAAATGGCTAAGTTTTCATCCTCTTATGATACTCATCAATCTTTTCTGTGCTCGTGTACTTCTGATATTCTCCATTTTGTCACAAAATTTGTTTATGATGTATTTCGTCTGCTCACTAGTACTGTTTGATACTCCTACTTGATCTTTTGTATCAACCACTCCACCTTCCACTATGAACACCAACCTTGAGCTCAAAGTTCTTCAGTCAACACTATCTTCATTTACATCAATACAAACTATAAATTTCTGTAAAACCATAAAACTAATAACTTCATCCAACTTCTCAACAATCTTGAACCGAGAAGTGTGGATAGTAAGTGAAGACAAGAAAGTATAGTAAGGGTTATACGCTTTGTTTAACCCTTACTATACATTACTATGTTCCTTAGAGTGTACTCTCACATGTCTCAAACTAGAGCTTGAAGGACTAGCTCGGAAACCTAACGCTAAACTATAGTCAAGTAAGTTATGAGTTACGTATGGTAGAAGAAATGAATCTTAATGCAACCAAAGACGTAAATGAACTAACTCCTAGATTATTAAATCCATGGTAGTAGGACAATTAGGAACACTGACTTGTCACTTTGTGACACGTCATGGCCAGTCTGATAAGATTCATCAAAATTTTGATCCAAGGTCGAAGCTGAAGAGGGAATGCTGGGAATTCTCTTCTCCAGAGAGGTTGACTGTGTTGGGTACTGAATTGAATTCAGAAGGAAATCTTAAGGAAGTGGAATGATCCTCTCGGTCGATAGGTTGAAGTTGGGTTGAACCATCTATGAAGAGAAGATGATTGGAAGTAAGTTCCGGCAAAACGTATTCTGTACATCGAAGTACGTATCGTCTTAGCACTCGCACACCTGATATTGCCTGCATCATGGGGATCGGTCTTTCTATCGGATCTGAGGATGCTTGAATAAAGTGTCCCGTTCAGTACTACAACTGTTATCCAATGTCAGAGGTATATTTAAAAACTGCTCGCAAATTTTCTCTGCCTTCACCGATGCTCCACGCCCGGATCTCAATGGAATACACTCCAGCTGCAGTGAATTCCCTCTCTCTGCATGAGTGAGACGTGGGTCTACGTTAATGTCATAACCTTCCGATATCTGATGATGCCAGTTCATAGCAAAGAGAAGCCAGTTACATGAGCTCGAAACCCACCAAGACAACAGCTGCTACTGTGGCGTTTAAATGTGATGCTCGTGCCGCAAGGCAATAATGGCTTTCCTGAAGCTGTAGGAGGAAGTTCAGTCTTCTGTACCAACCTCTCGTACAATGGTGCAGAATTCTATCGAGATTTGAAAACTTATTGAGATATTTTGTACATGCTTGTGACCCATTCACTCTCCAATCCTACAAGACATGCTTCGGTGATTCTTTAGGTCTCAGGGTCCTTCTGGCAGTTTCCCGTGTCCAGTGAATCTACAATAGTCTTCTCGTATGGTCGAGAATCAAGATGACAGTCTGAAGACTCCAGAACTTCACCCTGACCACTGATGACAACTAACCGGTAGCAGAGTTAGACGAAGCTCTGCCAAGTTCCCACCAGAGAAGTACTTGGTGACTCGGTTTTCTGTTTCACTTTATCAGTACTTGTACTCTTTGGGAGTCTAGTCATTTGGCAATCCTATGTCCTTGAAGTTTCCTTGAAGCTCATCCTGGCGTACACCTGCAGGACTACGTACCGGATATTGTCAACTATAGTACACCCTTACCGGTGCTGATATCTTGCACAGACGCTACAAAATTGCTGGTTTTTACGACGCCAAGTACTGCACGATTGTGATGCTACTAGGGCCTAACCCCAGCCTACCCGCCCCTCGGTTTCATCACTATCACTCGATGTGGTCTTCCCATCCTTACGTTTGCTAGACTGCTCGCTTTTTCACAATTCTGCCCAATGTAATGATGTGGCCCATGGCCATCCATCAGCATAAGATCTAGGACTTCCTACACACTGCCTAATAACACATAGTGCAAAAAAGGAATTGTGTGTTCTCTTGTCATCTTGTGGTGCTCCGTCAGAAGTTCCCCCATAAGTGGTCATCAAGTGGTCTGAAGAGACATTTTTCGTGCCCTCTTGAGTCCACCGTTGTGGTTGTACCAATCTTACCTCGGATGCTGCTGTGGTTGACACGAGTGAGAAGGAAGATGTGAGAAGTGGAGACACAAGGAGGGTTGGAAGAGCGGAGGTGCACTGAACGAGGCGAGAAGAATAAGGCAGCCGAATCCTTGTGCCACAAGAATGTCTGTCTGGAGATCTCAAAGAATCACGAGGTTGTTCACAGATCGTTGCTTGGTTCACAAGTAACTTCTCTCCACATTCCTCCGAATTGCGAGGTTCTGGAAGTCTTTTTTAACGGATTCGAGCCGGGGTAAAACATCCCACCAATGTTATGGCCATGGGACTAATCACATCCTCCAAAAGCTGGTTTGACTTTCTCGTTGAAGCACGTGCTCGCAGCAGCTCGGACACACTTGTCCTTCAACTGATTGTCAGCAATTTGCCGGGGATTTTGCCCCAACTTCCTCCAAACTTGGCAGAATATGAGGGGGAGACATCCTGTGGTCTGGTTTTGTCACCTTGCCTTTGTGCGTGGGAAGGCAAACCGACGTGTTAGAACACGTCCATCAAAAACACAAGTTTTCAGATAGAAAGAACCGAGATGCCCCGTTTACCTCCCTCACCTCAAGCTCCCGCGTTCCTTCGTGCCACGGAAGAATCAGATCACGTTCTTGTTTCTTCCAGTACCAGCAGCAGCAGCCCACGAAGTATGGAGCAAAAGGTCAAGCCACAGTCAAGTCTCAGCCATTGGAAAATCCGCATCCATCTCACCTGAAACCCTAACGAATAATCGACGGAATGGTGTCCGTGAGGCAGAACGCAGAAACATCACAAAGGGAACGACAGGCCAGGCGACCCTTAATCAAATCGAGCATTGTTCGAGTCATTAACCTCTGAAATTCTTTACCGGCCAATCGATGAGACCCATCCATCATCTTTCTCTATTCCGAATGCAACTTGCCCAGCAGTTGGTGCAGTGTCCGTCTAGATGTTCCATGTAGAGGAATATAATATAATCTCCTGCATTCAATGCGCCATGCGTGATCTGTACGGACCGATGTTTCAGCCTCGCAAAGCTGCGAGTCAGATACAGGATCCTACGAGGCAAAGAAATGCTTTTGAGGCTTTTTATTACCAGCTGGGGAGAGCGGCGAAAATTTAATGTCTGCAACGAGGAGGTAGACTCGTCCGTAAAGTACGAAAGAGAAAATCTGGTCGCATCCAGCTCTTATCACGAGGAAAGGGATCAGAGGCCGAGCCAATGAACGAGGAGACATCGAAAATGTGCCAACTTCACGTCTTCGCGGATTCAGGTGTCGGCCATTCCTCTTCGGATTCTGTGGGCCTCACACGCCGAGCATGAAATGTGGACGTTACTGGCCAAAGGAGTGCGACGACGGAAGGAATTCTGAAACTCCTCCACCGTTCGAGATCGACGAATTCTTCGTCCTCCGAGCCTCGACCAATGTGACGGATATTCTCCTTTTAGTCCATCACTGAATACGTCCGGCCGGCGTTGCGTCCTTTACAGATGGACGCGCGTGCGCGCGTGCGGCTGTCGCCGTTCCGATCCTGAGGCTGGAGACCTATATTCGTCTCGGGGCGAGCGTGGCGAAGACGGCCCGGGCCCTCCCCCCCCCCCCCCCCCACCCCCGGTCCGAACCCGGTCTCCGAGTTCGAACTCTCTTCGATTTCCACATGTTAGTTCTCTCAATAAGCGCAAGAACCAGGCTTCCTCGGGCGAAAAAGTACTTTGCAAATTGCAGACTTTCGGTCACTGTAGCTCACCACTTTTTGCATGTGTTTAATAAAATTTCGTTAAAATATAAGTAATCTTTAAGAACTATTCGAACCAGTGTACATTGTCGAAACCATGATCTGACATTCAGATAAGGGAAGAAAATTTGATGTAAAAAAAATATTCGGCTTTCGAAAAACTAGGAATAAAATAAAATAAAAGAACACATGTAAGTCGAAAATATATATCAGAATCATACCAATTTTTTTATATAAATACATCTACTAAATTATCTAAAATTGATTCAAGATATGTATAGGTATATATATATAGCTATATATATGTTTATAAGTATTTGTATAGAGATAGAGGCGAATATATGGACAACTTTCTAGTATGTTTCTTTTAGTGTGACGTGCTTATTTTTTGCAGAATATCACGGTATGGGGCAACCCTATGGTAATTACACTGTATCCAATATTCCATAAATGTATACATTAGATTGTGATTTATGTGAACAATTTTCAGTGGTAATGTGCTTCTCTAAACGTCCTGTCGTCACTTGTACGGAAGGTTCTAGAGGAGCGGATGATTCGACCCAAGAGATACGAGAAATCTGAGCATGCTTTGGCTTTTACTTCGTACTTTGGTGGATGCGATTTCTTCTCGATGCGACTCCCCCAATTGTGACTCTTGACAGGCCACTCTCCAGAACTTCAACACCTTGGGAGTAGCGTCTTGTTACCCTTCCTGCAATTGTGGAGGCAGATGGGGAGGGATGTCATTTATGCAGAGGCCTAGTGGGCCCCCAGAGCTCCAGGAGAACATCACACACATCAATTAGAAGCGACAGAAAAGCATCGATTCTGTTCATTTTATCCCAAATCTCACAAAATTTGTGGTTTATGTCGTCAACCTTGAGTTCACCTCACAAGCCTTCTGCCTTCTGGAAGAGCCCACCTTATCCCGTGCTCGCGATCTGGTCAAGGGGCGTGCTCGGTCATGGTCCCAGCAACTCGACATTCAGCCGAGAGGGTCGATTTCTGAGCCGCCAGTTTTGCAGGAAAGACATTGCGAATGACAAATTTCTCGGTCGGTCATTAGTCAGTCAGTCGTTCGCATTCCCTGGAATAATACGGAAAGAAGAATAGAGGGATGAAGTGCGAGGCCCACCCGGAGAATATTTGTAGCTCTTTGTGACTCGACGCTGACGCCAAAATATGCTGAGGAGGTACGAACGAAGGAGACAAATTTGTCAGAGGATATGGGTGGTATTCAATCCCTCTTGCTCGGTCTATCTCCCCAAGATGATCTGAGCCAGCCGTCGGAAACGCCCTACTTTGCAAAAGAGTGCTCTGATTGGGTGTTTCCTCATGATCCGGTGAAATTTTTGAGAGAGAAGAAATTTTTGGGGTTCGCCAATGACCAGTCAAAGTTTCTTTGACTGGTAATTTGTGCTTCTGACATGGGCCACTGGCACGATTTCTAGTATAACCTCAATCGATCGACATGCCAAAACTCGGAAGCTGATACACACCAATTGCTGCCATGCGGCTCATTTACACTAATCGCACGAGCCTGATTAGGGCATGTCTAAACAAGCCCTAAATCAAGCACTGTATACATTTAGGCGAGGGTACTTCTGGATAATCGGAGCCTAATATTTAGAGCCTAATCATAGAATAATATGTGGGGCACAATGTCTAATTTCCTTGATCCGAATCGGGAAAAAGCTTTACTCCGAAAAGAAGAAAGTAAAAGCGAAAAGACGATATTGTTCTCACGTGTCCAATCTTGCAATTACATGCCAAGAACAGTTCGATGTAATCTGTATATCAAAAAGTATGGTCCATGTACGTAGACGATCTTTATGCTCAAGAAAAGGGAACAAGTAAAGTAGCTTTCCGGTTCACTACGCACCCGTTTAATCCCGGATAAGGAAGCATAATTCTACTAAAAAAAATAGGAATCCAGATATATTTAATTCAAAATATCATAAATATTTATTTTGTGCAAATTGTGAATATACTTGTGTTTGAAAATCAATTTTTGGTTGATGTTTTCTCATCTAGCATCAGGACATGTTAGTGAAGATTAAACAACTAGCCAACATAGATCATATTGTTTACGTTTTCATAAAATATTGGGCAATAAACAAGCATCCTGCTCTTCAAAAGCCCAAGGAATGGAGTTAGTGCTACTAAATCCATAGCATGAGTAGTTAAAGCAAGTAAATGGTAAGAGATTGGGCCACTAAGCCCAATTATTCAACTGAGAGCTTTTCGTACCGTATCTATGCCTTCCTCCCAACCGGACCTGCAAGATTTCCTCGCATACGGCTTTCCAAGTGAATCCTGAGTTTGTCCAAAGCTTTTGGTAATAGACGATAAGATTTGTCGACTTAAGCTACCTCTTCGATAAGCAACATCTAGTCATAATTGATAAACTTAATGTAATAATTTTTGCTTTGGAAATTTTCCGTAACCATGTCAATCCAAATGTAAAACATTTTTTACAACTCAATAAATCAATTAACAAGATTGAAAAATATTCTCTTTATGTTCAGATATTTAATGAGATCTTTTTAGGATTTGTCATAGTTTGTCTCACACTTTTTTTCAACTGTTGCACTAACATTGTACTCGAGAACTAGAGCGCTGTTATTGGCATTTTTGTTCAACTTATATTATATCTAAAACTGATATAGTAGTTTAGATTTAGTTTCTTTGATATTACAATTGAATTGTCTAATTTAAAATGGTATCATAATAAATTTGAGGACCTGCCTAGGTAATTTCTGTAAAATTTTTGTAACAATTTTAAACTGAGAATAAGATTTTAAAAAAATATTAATATATCATAGGTTAATTAGTTAATTATTGATTATTTAGTTATTTATAGGTTTGAAGTTAGATTTATTAATTAATTTATAGGTTTGTCCTATGCCTCTGAAGAGAGTAGAACCTAGAGGGTTATTTTCTCACCAGCACTAATATATATATATATATATATACCCCATATGAAATTTGATTGAGTTTAGGGTTCTAATTCACTATGTCCGCACCTCTGGATAAATACGCACAATCCTCCCAGTATCAAGGTGCTTACGTGAGATTACTCTAATTCAGCAGAAGATACAAGTAGACAGAACAAGCCGAATTGATCTAACATAAGTAACTCATGTGGATAACAATACCTAGCTCAACAAAAAACACATTAAATGTGTTCATCAAACTTGTTTAATTATGAAATATATTGCATTTGTATCATGAAACCTGCTGAAAGGTAATGCTGAAATATAATACATGATACATTTCAGAGTTGAAAATCATGACAACTATTATGATAACCTTTCCCACATTCTTACCAAAATTTGCATTGATACATTCATCATTTCAAATCATGCGTAACAAATACATATATTCTGTGCACAACAAACAATAATAACTCCTCAACTGCCATATCAATTTTTTCAATTTTTTTATGTGATCATATATGGCTAACAATTGCGCTCCTCATGGACAACGAGTAATATGAACATACTCAATATTTAAACTGAACCATATTCAAATGGAAATATAAATGGATGTATCAATTAAAATTTAATCGCTTCAGGAAAGACAACTGTACCAAGTCAAATCGTTACAATAGATGTTGAATCTAGTATACACATGCAGCTTTCCAACTTAAAGAGCCTAAGGAAACCAAGTTAATAAAAAAAATGGAGATAAGCATGGATACTGAATGACTATCATTAGTGTTACCTTGAAATATGAATCAAATTTATAATAATAAAAGAGTTAAAAAATCAACTCTCCGGTGCTATTTTGACCCACCTTGCGTTTCAAGATGCAGCGCCAGTTGTGGATGAAGGTTCAAACAAGGATGTTTTTCAATTCCCATAGGTTAAGAAAATTACTGTTGTTAACCAGAAGACTGATTGAATGGTTGAACGGGAGAAAGTGTCCCATCTATACCGAGAGCAATATTGAGTGGAGGGATAAAATTTGACATCGTTTCCTATTTATACCATCCTTAGACGTCTTCACGAGATGAAACCTGAACATCCTCTGACCTGGCCAAGATCTAAATGAATGATAGATACTATACATCATCAATTAAAGTTGGTGAGAGGGGACAGGAAGTGCAACCCGAAACACCGAAGCTTTTAGTTATTTTGTCCATAGCTTCACTCCAATCATGGAAAGGTGTATCTTTATTTGCATATGTTTTTCTTACTTTCTGGCCAGTGCTGTCGCTTGTAAATAAATTTGCAAATCGAAGGAATAATATCTTCATGCCTTCACAAGTCACAGTCGTAATTCCTAAAAGAGCTGGTTATGTAATTCTTCCTGACCCGGTCCGAAGGCGTGGTGGAAAGGAGATCCCCTTCATCGGAATGCCTCTCGATTACTCCGATCTATGAGCTCCATATAGATGCACTTGGAAGGTGAGTTGAATGAATTACAAAACTTTGTTGAAAGGAAGATCTGCATCGAGAGGTGAGAGAAGAGAGAGATCGACCAGGGATTGGTCGATTAACAGTCGGAAGTATAGCCGATAGTAGTAAGCCGTCCATCCTACAACCGCTAAAACCCAGAGTGCCTGCCATGATCGTCAACAAAACAAAAGCACTGGGATGGTTCGAGTATTGAACTCGACGTGAATCGAACACGCAACCTTCTGATCTGGAGTCAGACGCGCTACCATTGCG